AAAAAAAAAAAAGAAGAAAAAAAAAAGTAGAATTAAACCTACCGCTTCGTTCGCGTCAGACGTTGCGTTTACTTACACTGTATGTAATATGAATTACGAGTATAGTATAATATAGTAGTAGTATAATATAATATAGCATAATACAATTTAGTTTAGCTTGTCTCATAAATATTGTCTACAGTATGGAAAGTTGGGCAGCCGTGGCGCGCGTATTTGGCGTAGGAATACGGGACTCGATGCCAGGTATTGGCCGAGAGCACGGGCACGCGATGATTCGTTCCACCTGATTCGACCTGCGGAGGCCGAGGATGGGTCGAACAAACCAACAGCACGAGGAACATTTGCGACGGTACACGATTACCGCGATCAGGCGTTGCTCGGGATCCATAACGATCAGATGCGAGAAAATACGATCGACACGGTAAAAAAACGATCACGTACGGTTTACGATTATGGAATTCATAAAGTGGAAGAACGTTGTAGAAAAAGGTTGTGAGGGTTGATGAGATGTTGTAGAAAACGAACGACGGCGAAGGAGATTACACCGTTGCGTCGCAACGAGTCCGCGCTCGGCATACGCGGTACCTCGTTCTGTCGAACCGGTTAACGTGCTTCGAAGTTTATCGGCAGTGCGTAACAAAATTATCGTTAAGGGATCTTAACCCCATGGGAGAGAATCACTTAATTAAAAAGCAATAATTATACGCGTTATATAATATAAATATATGTATATACTTAAATGCATCGTATAGGAATCTACTAGGTCCGCGTATCTGGCAGTCTGATCACAATGCTATAGGAATACCCCGCTGAACTTAAAGTATATGTAATCTTATGTATGTATGTATGCATGTACGCTGTGTGTACATACGTAATGCATGTGTGTGTACATGTGTACGTTCTTCTTTTTTTTTTTTTTTTTTTTTTTTTTTGAAGTTCTGCGTATGGAAGGAAGCATTAGTGAGAAGCAAAGGACGCGCGATTCAATCGAATCGGTGTTTAATACTGTACCCTCTCCGAGGTTGCCGCATCGAAGCGGCAACGAGGGATATAATAAAATGGCTGCCTTTCTCAAAAAGGCCGAAAAGACAAACGCCAGTCGGAATAACAGGGCAATCTCATCCGTAAGCGGACGGGCATTCATTTTGAAGGGGTATCACTCGAGTTTGCATCGATGCGATGTTCAATATGTCGGTTTGAATCAACTTAGCGTTTAAAAAAAAGTTTGGTCTATGTCTGGTGTGTGTGTGTGTGTGTGTGTGTGTGTGTGTGTGTCGAGTCCAACTTTGACGAGGAAACACGAGAACCAGGTCGAAGAACGATTCCGCGATACGATGAAGCAATATTCAGTGAAATTTCGAAGATGCTTTCCCTCGTGATTTTGGTGTCCCTGGTGAGCCACACGCGCACGGCTTGACCCGTTTAAAAATATGGAACCAGTGTGACCAGAATGGTTGCTATTGGAAGAGCTCCGGATTACCGGACGGTCTTAGTCCGGCTCGGGGCAGGATGTTTTTCTAGATTCTGCGACGATTCTGCTCAAGAGAATGATCGCGTATGATACTCATTCAGATTCGGGCCTCTGTGTACCTGCTACTCGAAATTTGTTTCGGTTAGTTCCTCTAGAATTCATCGATCGTTCGAGGACTCTATCGCGCGCGATGCTGTTTGAAACACGTTCACCAGCGTGTCGACTCAAATGGAAAGAAAAGGAAGAAAAACGCCGCAGATCGCGACAGAGTCCGCGGACGGTCGATCGTCTCGCGTCGATTCGAGAAACGTATCACAACGCAATTCGATATTGGACGTAGTAGCCTATAGGGACATCGCCCCGAGCGGGAGAGTTGACACGATCTCTCGTTAATGCGCGATACATCTCGTTACGCGAAAATAATATTAATCAATTGATTAATTAATTAATTAATTAATATTCATAATAATAATTAATAATTAATAATAAACCTTAGAAAACGTTAAAAAAAAAAAAGTAGATTGAAAAATCGAGATAAAGAGGCGGAACAGTGCCGTTTTCAGAAGTAATCGTGGGTGCCACGAATAGCTCAACACCAGCCGCGTCTTGTCTTTACGTCTCACCATTCTCGATTCTTCCTGAATTCTTCTTTCGTTCTTCTTTCCCTTTGTTGTCCACACTTTCGCTCCTCGATCGTCATTACACGCGCTTTTTTCTGTTGATGTTGTACACATTCACACTCACACTCACACACACACACACACACTCTCTCTCTCTCTCTCTCTCTCTCTCTCTCTCTCTCTCTCTCTCTCTCTCTCTCTAAACCTTTCTCTCCGCGCGTGCATGTGTATATTCTTACACATATAGATATACTAATATACGTTACGATCGTTATTGGAACGTTAACCAAGCATGAAAGAAGACGGTGATGCGCTTATTTTCATTCTCAACGTTGTTCATAACGTGTGCCATATTGATCGAATAGCCGTTCCTGTAGCCTCTTTCGCACCTAAACGACGATGTCGACGGTTCTCGAACTCACGAACTCCTCAGTTAGACAAGCTCCTGCTTATAAATTTTCTCTTTGTGCATTCGTTCCATATGCCGCGCGATGTGCATCTTTTGCTTTGCCCTGTACACACAGTGAGGACATTGGAATTGGGGCTCTTTACCGCATTCCCACTTCTGATGATTTCTCAGGCTACTCTTCAGCTTGTACACTCGGCCACAGGCTGGACAATTGAAGCCTTCGGGATTCGAGGAGCTAGAGCCAAGCCCTTTGCCCAATCCTCCGCCGGACCGCCACATGATCGAAGGCACGCTCCATCTTTGCCAAGCAGCTGCCCACTTTAACCCAGTGATACTCAGGTCTTCGGCTGGAACACAGGATTCACGACTTTATTAGTATAATGTTCGTACGACCGACACGAGAATCGGACGGTCTTTAAATCCTGGAACGCGATCATTCGTTCGTTCCTTTGATCGCTCGCTTGTTCGTCCCATTGGAGATGCGGGTATCGACCAGTACCGAAGCCCGATCTCTTCATTTTTAGATTTTTTTTTTTTTTTTTTTTTTTTTTTTGTTTTTTTTTTTTTTTTTTTTTTTTTGTTTTTTTGGTTTTTTTTTTTTTTTTTTTTTTTTTGTCGTAAATGAGAACTTGCGGGTATTAAGCTTAAACGCTAAGCCGACTCGAATCGACACAATCCGACACAACTCGCGATCGTTTTCACACTTGTTAGGATGTGTACGCCTAAGCGCTGCGAAAATCATCTCCAACCTAGAACAGCGATATTACGAGGACACTGTTCATTCACTTTTTCCCTCCTCTCTTTCTCTCGTCTTTCACTTTCAAGCCTCTTTGCATTCCTAACTGTGTCCCACTAAACTATCACTGTTCGAAGCAAAAGATCAATTTCGCCGGTACCCTGAAAAACGATCGCGCTTTGTTCGACTTAGTTTCGAGAAGGAATCGTTCAAATCGATTCGTGACTAGAGAAAGCGCGGCTGTACGTTTGACTCGCACAATTCGTTCTCGAACTTGATCATCTCTACGCGATCGAAATGCGTGAATTATTATAACAAGGGAAGAGAGAATAATGCACGTTTATCGTATCCCTACGTTCGAGCCCCAAGCAGCTAGCTATAAATTTCGCATACGAAGAAGGAGCGGTATTTGTGCGTGACGAAAGAAACAGAACGTACAGTTTTAGTTAATAGAAAACAAAAAAAAAAAAAAGAACGAAAAAAACAAGAGAAAGAGAAACATAATGAAATAAGTGATCCGTGCCTTTCCGAGACCGATAGTCTGTTCCTTTCGACGCACAAGCGATAAAAGACGTGTTTCTATGTACAAGTTTCGAGAAAAGTTAGTGCACATGCTACTCCCCTAATATCGACGAGAAGATAGAGAAATCAAAAATTCAACAGAGAAATGCAATTGCGAAGAACGCGTCTGATTATAACAAGATGGATCGCAACGATGTGGTTGTCGTACGTCGAATCGTGGATCAAATACAGCGGAATGATCCCACATTTGTTCCCCTCTTCCTCCTCTCTTTCTTTTTTTTTTTTTTTCTCTTTTCGACTTCCGACTGTATTCCCCACAATTGGATGATACACTAGTACACCGATGCGATCGTTGCTTTCTACAGTAATGTACAAATATTTCTATATTTCTATATAAAGAAGGGATTTAGAGAGGTAACAAGTAGAAAGAAAGAGAGAAAGAAAGAAAAGGAGAAAGACAATATAGGAAGGGGGGGGGGGAGAGAAAATAAAAAAGAGGAATAGAAAAAAGAAATAAGAGAGAGAGAAAGAAAAATGGGCACAATGCGAAGAAGAGAATACAGTTTTGTACAAACTGTAGGAGTGAGAAGTACTCCTTTTTGAATTATGAAAGATGATATATATATATATATATATATATATATATATATATATATATATATATATATCATAATGCGTCGGAGTGATAAAATCGTTGATCCGTTAAGCTGAAACAGGTATGAACGGTTAATTACGAAAAAAAAAATTTTGTAGCGGCATTCGACCATGAGAAGTACGGAGGAAAAAAAATTGTGCAATCAACACGCGTGTAATGACAAGGTAGATGTTTGGATGACGTTCTGGTACTTTTCGTCTTCTGATACATTTATTTCAATCAAACGTACGAAATACGATTGGGCTCGCTTAAAACGTTACTAATACTAGGTCGCAAGATCATAGTGCGGTACTACGACTTAATACGCTTAAATATGATCAGTCTTAACAAAAGTTCGCTCTCGAACTCGTTCACGTTTTTTACCACGTTCGTAGAAAATAGTGTCTTACTCGTATCATTACAAAATCTAACATTTAAGGCTAACCATCTTTGTGTACTTTCTTTCTGCTCGTAATTTTTAGAAAATCGTACTTATTGTCTCGATAATCTATTACATTTACGCGCATCGATAAGGCACTAGATCGTGTGCATAATACGGCTGACGAACTACGTATTTCTACACAAGTAGTATAAACGTTTCAGTTTTATTAAAAAAAAAAAAAGAAAAAAAAATTGAAAAAAGAAGAAGAGAGAAAGAGAAAAGAAAAAGAGAAAGGGAATGTCGCAAAACGTATTAAAAATATATAAATGTTAACTATAAATTCGATGTACAATAATCCTAATGTAATATCAGTCGTTATCTTTAAACTCAATACATATGACTCATGATTGCGATTGTTTGATGCACGCTTCTAAGAATAAAGTATAACATTCTTTTGCTTCACATTGCTCTAAGTGAAGCTAATTTTGCTTGTATCAGCAACCTGAAACGTATATTTCATTCGTACAACTTTTCTCGGTGAATAAATATACATGCAATACGAAATTAAAAAAAAAAGAAAAAAAGTTAAAAAACAAATTTGTCCATGTTAAAATGCTAACTCAAGTCAATTACTAAATCGACCTAATATCACTTTGAAAAGATGCTTTTGCCATTTGTCTCGTTGCTGGTAACATCGAAAAAAAAAAGAAAGCAAGTATACGCGAATGTTACCAGTCTAACGCAAGAAATCCATGTTGTTTTTCGAATGCTGGCGCAGAGTAGGAAGGAAAAAGTAAATGGCAGACGTAAAAGATCGATCGCAATGAATTTCTGGACAATCGTAGCATAAAGTGAGTCCCCGATCGTCGATCGTTCGAGTTTTCGATCAACAGAGCTCGAAAATATCGTTCCCTCGAACTTTTCACTTAGTCGATTTCAAGCTTCGGCGTGTAAGCTAGTAAATAGGCTTCCATGTCTCCGATTTTGTCCAGGTGTTGCCGGCGGATATGTCGCAACCAATGCGCCTTCCGTTTACATCGCTGAGGACAGAACGGACATTGAAACTGAGGTTCCTTGCCGCATTCCCAATGAACGTGTCGCTGCAACGAATCTTTCCTCATGTACGATCTTCCGCATCTACTGCAGCCAAACTGTCCCGGTGGTTTCTTGCCAACGTAGTTGCAGGCCTTTGGTATCTTCAATTCGGCGAATGGTAGTCCCTGTTCCTGGATCTTCCAAGCTTGAACCGGCAAATCGCTGTTCTCCTCGGTCGCTTTGTTCTCGTTTGCATCATCTGTAATCGGGAAAAGAAAAAACGAGCTTTAGATCTGTCCTGGTATTTCGCGCCACGTCTCTGCAGCACTGTAACCGAGCACACACACTTGGTACAATACATACTGCGGTCGGAGCAAACTGATAAATCTCGCTGCATTTCGATCGGTCGATTTCGATCGGCTTAATTTCAATGAGTCAGCTTGCGAAACATAGCCTCTCATGCGCTATATAACGCATATAACGTGCTATGTATAATTTTGGTATTAATTTTATACGCGAGAACTTGCATTACGTTGCGGAACGTCGGTCGCAACATAATGATCGTTTGCAGACAAATGGAAGAACATATTCTGTTTGCCGAATCGAAAAAAAAAAAGGAAAAAAAAAAGAAAAAACGTACAGTTCTCGATAACTTGCATCGAAAGAAGGAATATATGTATTACAGAACGATCGTACAAGCATAGTACGAAACGAATCGGAAAAAAGAAATGATCCATTTAGGATTGATTAATAAATACAACGCTCCTTTTCTCATATCTTTTCATCGTTCTTCAATGTTACATTCTTTGAAGCGCGTACGAAGCGCACGATACAATATTTTACACGAATTCGAAGACGTGAGAGCGACCGTTCCAATTTCTCAACAATCCTCTCCTTATTTGCGAACGTTTATTTGTACGTCACATTCGACAAAAAAGCAATCTTCTGGTCGATTTTTAAAACCCAGTGGACCCGTTCCTTTTGACTTGCTTCCGGATGCTGCGTTCCAAGATGACGAAGGACGTTATTCTTTTGATGAGATCGATAATCGCAGAAAGCGCAACGAAATTTCTTGTCTGTGCCGCATGTGTTTCGATGGTTGGAGCAAGATTTCGAGGATTTAAAATATTTGAAGCATTTCGGGCACTGGTACGGCGTCACTTCGATTGCGAGTTTCCATCGAACCGGGCCACCTGAAAAATCAGATACCGGATGAACTACTATTCCTGTTTCAATTCATCAACTATCAGTCCTTTTGCAAAATAAATTCAGTTCAGATCAAAATGATCAAATGACAATTAAAATAATTATCAGTTGTGTTTCATTTCCGAATGAGACGAAGCATCTGAAATATATCGTATCGTACTTCATTATAAAATACACGTATAGAAATATCGTACTTTATTATAAAATACACGTATGCTATAAGAGAAGAAAAGAAGAAAAGAACCATACATCAAGAGGGACTAAATGTGATTCTGTTATGTAAGTATATGTTCTGTTATTCATTCAAAGCGTAAATTGCAAAAAAAAAAGAGCAACTACAATGCTTCATTCTTGCTTATTGCGATTAAAGCATAGCAAGCAACACATTGTTCCGCGATAAAATTAGATCTCGAGTTTATTTCTTCCTTATTTCTTTCTTCGTTATGAGCATGTAAATGGTTAAAATTGTTTAAACTTGTATTAAACTCGCGTCATTTTATGAAAACAAAAGGACGAGGATGTATGCATGTGCAAAAAAATAAGCAATTGACAATCGAAGAATGCTGATCGACTGATCAGTGTTTCTATGAAATTCATAGCTATTCTTCCTATATCCGTTTCTTATTCTTCTCTCTCTCTCTCTCTCTTTCTCTCTCTCTCTCTCTCTCTCTCTCTCTCTCTCTCGCTCACAAAGTTATATTACAAAAATATTTTCTATTATATTAAAAATTATGATCGATTAAACTCTATCGTAAATATAATAACTTGAGAACATTTTTTTGCTTTTTTTCTTTTGCTGAAAGATATTGTCATTCACGTCATAGAATATACTGTAGAATTTTTGCAAGATTTGCAATTGAGTAAGAAGAATCTTAAATCACGGCGAGAAGAAGACTCTTATGCAACCTTTTCTGACGTTTCACCAACTTGTCTCGTCTGTAAAATCTTTTCGGACACAGGTTGCAATAATGTCTCGGTTGTTCAACGTGAATCTTCATATGTGCCGTCAAATTGTGCTTGTACTTGAACCAATTCTGGCACATACGGCACATATGGCACTGATATTTTGGAGTCTGACTGCATTCAACTCGTAAATGTCGCTTCAAGCAATACATTCTCATGTAGAAACGATTGCAATTCGGGCATTTGTACTGTCCGCGCGTCGTTTGAACTGGTTGAAAGAGGCCTCGATTCTTTGGATTGGACGTTACCGATATCGCCTGTTGTACTTCGATCGTGTTCCTATCTGTTGGACAGAGCAGCCAACCTGAAACGGAAAGAAACGATATAGAAAATGTTCAGGACGATCGTTAACAACATGACCGTATTATCACGTAAACGATAATAACATCCTTGCCTGGAAAGACAGTTGAACTGAAAAATAATCGTTATTTCGTTATTCAAAGATTTCGCCAATATGGATTTATTCGTAAATTTCACATCAAACCTACGCGAAAGGTTGCGGCTGAACGGAATTCATTGGCTAACGAATTGTAAAGCAAAGTGTATAACGTAAACAATATATATATTATCGTGTAACAAATAAAAAGCACGTTGGAAAATGTAGTATTTATTCATTGAGTAAGAAAAAAATTAAATTACGCAAATTAGTAAGTAAAACAGAACGAATTTCTTTTAACATCGGTGCACTTTTCCTCGTCTATGAAAAAAGTGTCTATGAAAGAAGCAGACAATCATATACAAAATATGATTCTGGCGTATAATTTCAGTCAACGACAATGACATAATACAAACGGATAGCGCTAAACTTTTCTCTTCAGTTGGCATGCAAATACATTCATTGCATCGTTCTCCTTTCAATTTCACTACAAGATTAAACTTTGATCATTGATCAAAAATAATCGCTGACATCTTGTTAAACATTCCTAACATCATTAATATATGATATTGTCTCGCAAGATCAAACAAAATCTTTTAGAAAAATAAATAACGTCAATGTGAAATTTTTGAACTGCGGATTATTTGGAGTGTGGTCCATTCCTTAATGCGTAAAGGCGTAATCGGTGATAACGGATAGCATAGAACAAGCGTGGAAAGAGTCAAAAGCCGTAACGTCTCTTTTCAAGCATCCGAATCTCTGGTTTCGCCTGTCAAGCCGACTTATTCTCGTGTTTGAATTTAGTCGATTTCTTCACGTCCGCCACGTGTACGTTATAGTGTCTCAACAAGCTGTGTTTATGCTTGAATCTCGCATGGCATAGCACGCACTCGAACTGAGCTTCCTTTCCACACTCGAGTCTCTTGTGCCGCTGCAACGATATCACCCTTCTGTACTGTCTGCCACAGGTGTCGCAAGGATACGTCTCGAAACTGACGGGTAGCCGGTACCAATACGCTGAAAACAGAAATTCGTGGTTAGCCGGACGTTTGTTGGGAAATGTTCTTTTCGATACCAGTAGAGCCGATGTTTCGTCATCAAAACACTGTCTTTCGTCATAGACCAGATGACTGAATTTTTGTCTTGCTTGTAAATCATTAACGTTTAAAAAANAAAAAAAAAAAAAAAAAAAGAAAGAAAAGAAAACGTTAAAACATGGAGGTATAGGAAAGTGGAATAACTCTTACACTTTTTAAAAAATAACCCGCAACAAAGATTACTTTTTATTAATAATAATATTAATAATAATAATAATAATAGTAATAATAATATTAATAATAATAGTAATAATAATATTATTAATAATAATAATAATGTTAATAATAACATTAATTGCTGATAATAATCGTAATAGACATTCGTGATATCCGACTGATAAATCTATCCAAAAAGAGAGTTGGAAGTGCTAAATATATCGGAACGAGTATTCGAGAAGAACGACTTGCATTCTTTTAATACATTGTTCACATTGTGATAGAATTGAAATCAGGATGTTCAAAGGGGCACGAGGAAAAATCTGAACGCTTCTCTTTCAAATATTTAGCGTTCTTGAAAGCCAGATTACAATTGCGATTGGTTGATCGATTGGTCCTCGTGTAAAGCACGGCAAACGCAGTCGCCTCGAACTTGACGAACGGAAGGTATAAGGGAAATTGGGCACGAGTATATCCTATATTAGTTCGTAGGTCGATGCGAGCATCCGTAAATACTGATATCAAAAATACTGGACTTCGTTTAGAAAAGTCTCCCAACGAGTCCTTTTCTTCCCTCATTCTTTACACACATGTACATATATAAATAAATTTTCTATATTTTGTGTGTGCGTGTGCGTGTGTGTGTGTGTGTGTGTGTGCGCGCGCGCGTGCGTGTGTGTGTTCCTCTCTTTTTCACCTTCTCTTTTGTCTTTTTTTTTTCTTTTTCTACTGTGCATGTATATAAATCTTTATATAAAAATGGAAAATCGTTACTACTTATAAGGCTAAGAATATATATATACATTCTAATATATATATATACATATACTTGTACATACATAGAAGGACAAACGAGTCGATCTTGGAAAGAAATTAAGGAATGTTCAAGTACAATATGTATGTGTCACGCACCACTGATTAGCGAGTAATTTATATCTTTTAACGAACGCGATACTCCACCGAGAGTAAAACCGAGAGTTCATACACAGAAAATCGCGCAGCGATCGACCCTTTTGTTCGCTTGAGCAGACTTAATCCTTTCGCTAAATTAAGACAGGAGTACGTCCTCCGCATTGGTAAATTCATCTAAAAGTATAACGATTCTTAAAGATAACAACATTGGCTCTATGTGGCTCTTCAATCGTAAAAGAGCAAAGAACTTGCGCAGTATCAAATTGGACGTTTCGTTTGTTGGTTAGACATATATCATCTTATTACGATATTATTATTAAGTATTTCGAGCGATTACGATTGCTACGAAATCACACGTTCGAAATGCGATCGCGATTCACAAAGATTCGCAGCAAACTGAGAAGAAAGAAAAACTATACTTTTTATTTTAAATTTTACGACCTATCGTCATCCACGTATGTATATCTTTCACTTTGCTACCAGTTTTAGTTTTGTTCGCGTTATACATCTATCGAAATATAGAAAAATATCAAATAAAAATATCAAAGTTGCATTTCAATAGAGGACAAAGTTGAAAGATTTGGTATTCGTTATCGTCTATCGTAAATCTAAGTATTTTCAGGTAACCGATTTTCTGAAGATATATAAATGCTCACGATAAATACACGATTGCTCTATGTCTAAAATTACTTTTATATATATAATATATGTGCGTGTGCGCGTTTGTATAATATGTAAATATATATATAAATATATTTCTTTTCACTTCAGGTTTGTCAAAAAGGCACTGTCGTCGCTTATCTCTATTACATTTGGAATGATTTATGATTTCATATGTATTATTTCTTCAGTTCCATTTACCTTGTATTTTAACACGAAAACAACTTAGTTCCTATAAAAAAAAAAAAGTATATAAAAGTACTAGTAAGATGTATGTTACTTCAAGAAATTTCAAAACTGGTAACACGATCGTCAGTTCTATTTCAACGTTAATTTGTGTGATCAATCAGTGATAAGTTTTGTTTTACAAAATTATTTTCATCCTACGATATCTTGAGACTCGAATGTATTTTTTTTTTTTTTTTTTTAGAACAAATCACTCATGGTGGCATCTTATACGAAACGTATTTCAATTTAAGTTGATTGCAATATGGTTGTTGTAGCTATTAAATACAATACCTGTACAATATATGTATAATGATTAAGGAGACATTAAATGATAATCCTAATTCGATCTCTATTTAATTAAAAATGCAGGAAAACGAAAAAATTAAAAGCACAACTAGTCATTGATCTACTAATTCTAAGAAACGATTTCTATAGGATAAAGATTAAAGTTTAAATCTTTAAATAATAGTAAATAAATTGAAAATTATATTAGGTACCCAAAAAGTTATTGCCGATTTTTGTTGAACACAATTTTAGGGATTTTTCTAATTAACGGGTTTTTTAGAAGTGGGAAAAACTGTACTACCGCTAACATCTATTGCGATAGATTAGAAAGAGTTCAAGAAAAATTACGGAAAAGAACAGCCAGTATTGATAAACAAGAAGAAAGTTTTGTTTCTGACCTCGCGTGGCAAGCATGATAGTGGAACTTGAATTGATGAGATTGTGTCCCATCTACCATATTCGCCAAATCTTTTATCAATAAATTTTTCACTTGTTTCTGAGCCTGGACGATCTATGAGGGACAAACAATTCAATAATAAAAAGTGTCAAGATTTTTCCGCGGCAAAGCAACAGATGTTTATAAAAACGGCATTTATAAGTTGTTAATCTTTGGGAGAAAGTTATAAAATATGATAGTTCACATTTTAATGCACGAAAAAAAAAGAAACAGTAAAAAATTTTCTGGATACCTGATACAGCCGAATAATTAACATTACAATAGAGCCGAAATTTTTAATAAATTCTTATGCTGAGGTAACAAAGTACTTTTTTTTTTTTCACAGTTTCTTCGTTTGCTGTTTACATGCCTGAATCGAATCGAACCCTCCAGTGAGAAGTAAAACGAAAAGAAAGAAAAATGGCGCGGAACAAAAACAACTGGAAAAAAGGAAGAAACTGAGCAGAACTCGATAAAAACGAAATTAACTGAATAGAAGAAAATCAGGTGAGAGGTACGTCGAATCAAAACAAATGAAACAAAAGAAAAAAGAAAAAAAAAAATTTAAAAAAATAAAAAACACGTACATATATACGTTATACGATCCTTATCAAAACGATCGTGTAAATCGGCGAAGATCCGTGGCTTTTTAGGCACCTTCATCGTACTCGATCTTTTGATGATGACGCTTGTAGTGTACTGTCAAATTGCCACGCTGTCTGGCCTTGTAAGGGCACATGGGGCATTGAAAAGCTGGAGGCTTGCCTCCGCATTCAACCATTTCATGCCTGCGCATCGTGCTTTTCCATCTATAACCTTTCCCGCAAAACTGGCACCTAAACTTTCGTTGTTGTTCGTGCGGTACACCCATATACACAACACTAAGGTCACAAGGCTGCGGTAGTACCTCGAACGAGTCAGGAAATACCACTTCGCGAGTAGACGTACGCGCGCCACCACCATTGTCGTTTCCGCTGTCGTAGCTGTTACTGTCCCACGTATTGCTGACGCGTCTGCTTGCCAGAACGACACTGCTTCTTGTTGTTGCGGCGCTCGACGTTGAAGGACGCCCCCTCTTGCTCGTTTGCTGTTGTTGCTGTTGTTGTTGTTGCTGCTGTTGTTGTTGCTGTTGCTGCTGCTGCTGCTGCTGCTGCTGCTTGCAATCCGACCGTAACAACGACAGCAATGCAACCATTCCTGCAACAGGTCCCGACGCCAAGCGAGACGCGAGATCGTGGTAATAGGTTATTTTACGAAATTAAAACAAAATCAACGAGAAACAAAAACGCAAATTAAAAAAACGGACGGTCGTAGGTAAGAGAGAAGGAGAGAGGTGTCAGGGAGTTGCGAAGTTTCTTCTCGTTCGATGCACGAATAGTTATGCGGCAAGAGAGATCAGTGAGATTAAACCCGTAACCAACCCAACACATAACGTATCAGCCAATAGCCCCGAGAAATATAAGTGCGCCCAGTGGTAAAATTTTGTCATGTTTATGTGAATAGGCGTGATATGTTTTCAAAGTAGCGGAAGAAGATGGAGAGATTTGGATTCGCTCGCAACTAAGTAAATCCGAAACATGGTAATAAATCAGCGTTTGCTCGGTATTTCGTTCAGATCGATCCGGGCAATTTTCATCGAACCGTGTCTCTCCAGCTTCCTCGACTTTCCTTCGTCGATGAAAAGATGCCAATTTCCAACCCTCCACAGTAAAATAATCAAACAGGATGTTTCGGTCGTCGTAAAATGACTTGGATTCGTGATATATTGAAAACTGTATCTATTAATGTACAAATATTTGTGAAATATTTCGTTGTATTCGATGAATTTACATTGCACGTGTGTTGTTTTGAAACATGTACATATATTCTTAGGAGAGGAAAGAAAGACAAGTAATTCGTTTACACCTTTAAATGCAAGCAACCATTATACGTTTATGTATAGCCTACATTTCAAAAATAACTTTTTTCCGACTGGGATGATCTGGTCTCATATTAGAACGCGACGCTTGCGCAAAATGTGTTATACGATGTCCTGAAACAAAACAACGTATCGATATATTTAGTGGTAATTTCGAGGCATCTGCGTGGAAAATATATATCTCAGAGACAAGGATACCAAATACAAAGATTCTATCAATATCTTTGAATATCTGTAATTAAACGAACGATTAGCCATCTCTTCGGACTCTTATAATTTCATGTTCGAAACAAAAACTAACAAAAATCAATGTAGAAAATGAACAGATAGTTGCAAAAAACGCATACGTGATTATCCATGCATTATTTATTATAATTCTGAAATTATAAGGATGGATTATAATCAGGAAGAGATACGAATAGTTTTCATTCGTACCGAACATATTTCTGTACGTGTGAGAGTTCGTTTTATTTCTTGGAGAATTTCGTGGTACTTGTTGAAAAACGTGACGCATCCTGGTCGCAAAAGATAGTGATACCGTGTGATTCTAGCTTATTTATTTACATAATTATTGAGCAATTTGCTATGCCTGTGTGCCACGTGAGAGTCCAAATTGAATTTCCTCTTTGAGCTGAAGCGGCAGTAGGGACAATGAAATTGTGGAGGCATGCCGCATTCAAGTTTCAAGTGCCGGTACAGTGAAGAGGCGTTCGAATAGACCTTCTGGCACTTTCCACAGGGATACATCCTTCGCGGCTTATTCGTTGTCCTAGTCGAACGATGTAGCCAGAAATCTGTGAAAAATCATTGCATTAGCAGGATCATACGGGTGAAAGAAAGACGACATTCAGTAAGAAAAAAAAAAAAACGAAAAGGACACTTCCGATTTTATATTTTATATATATTCATAGGGGATTTTTTCGAGAAAAATTTGCAAATAATGAAACAGCAAAAACAAAACAATGAAAATCAGAAATTCAAGAGGGAAAAAGAATTGTGACCGTTCAACGCGAAAAACATATTGAACCTTATGTCCACGTTGTGACAAGCTAAACAAATTGGTTGGCTCGATGTAAATGAATAGAAGGAAATAAATGAGACACCCCTGCGTAAAGTGATCTGAAAAGAGAATCGAAAAATTGTTCTTCACACCGCTACAATACACCATGCTAATTGTCTTTTTCGACAGCTGCAACGCTTAATCGCCGATATAATCGTAACGCATTGGCCTTTCGTATCAGAATATAATATAACATTTATTTCTATAAAAAGATAACCGCAATAACAAGAAGAATGATCGCGCAGGAACATCGTGCGTAGATGGCTCGATTTAGTCAGATCGCAACAACAATTACAAATATCGAGAGCTTGTATGGTATACGAGGCGAATCAATTGTTAACGTTGTAGAGCATTTTGTAGTGAATCTGTCGGATGAATTCGCCGTTTCCAGAAGTTAATAGAACGGGCCAACATTCCGGGCTCTCTCGCACATGCCGATGCAAAGACTTCCTCCATTTGTACGATTTCGAGCAGGCCAAACAGGTGTTCCATTCTGAAAAAGAAACGCGTTCGTTCCGTCAATGATACGCTCGAGTGGATTTCACCAAAAGATACGTGTGGACGTGCTTTAAAATCTCGCGATTATGGTGTCGCGTTCGATCGTTCCCTCGCGTCTTACAGAAACCAAACGACTTACATTACATTTTACTGGGTGTTTCGTGTGCAAAAATGATTCGGTGGAAACCAGAATTCGACCCAAGAGACTCAAGCTTTCGTTTTAATCAATGAACGTCCAAGAAATCGAGAGTTCGTTTCGCAAAGGAAACGTCTATGTACACGTTACATATGTATATGAACGTTGATATGTTGACCGATGGGATGGGACAACAATCGTTACGAAAGTCGATATATCGTTAACACTGATCGTTTGTTTGTTACAAAAAACATCATCCGATGCAATCCTTTGGACTATATGCATATCACCCTCTTGCTCGATCGTAATTTCAGCGTACATTTCATAGAAAAAACTGACAATCTGTATTTATCTTTAATCAGCTGATTCAAACGTATATAATTTCTCGAGTTTGTCCGACAGTTTACTTTGGTCAATAATTGTATATATTTACAAAGACGGCGTACGCATGCTATTGAGAAAAATTTATATCGTACTACACAAACGGTCCTTCGTCAAGAAATAAAATAGAAAAGCGCACATTGAGAGATATGTACGTCGAGAAGATTAATTTCAAACAGATTACCTTTAATAAAAGAAAGAAAAAAAAAAAATGTTTACCGGACAAGAATGATACACATGCGAATGTACAATCCGATAATAAAGCTTTATCGATGCGCATGCACATGCGTATCGATACAGGAATATCGAATCGGATTGGCAATGTCTCCTTCAAATAGCAATGGTGTCCAATTTCACAGAAGGAACCGTACGATTTCACAACTAGTGGCTAAAATTGAGTAGTTCCTCGAGCGTTCGATTAGAATTTCGTTGGACACCGTCCAGAGCTCCTTGCTTTAACCGTGTTGTGTTTCGATAAATTACGTAGATCGTAACTTGGTCCTCATTGAATAATAAAGACATTGATATCTCAGTGTCTAGCTGCATTCCTCCCTCCTGTGTCTCATCAATTAGCTGTAATAATACGTAGTATACGTGTACGCGAGTGACTGATTTCCAATTAGACAATCTGCAAAAAAAAGAACAAAAAATCATAAACTTCGATTAGTCCAAGTCCGAACATGGATTGATTGATATCTTTTTTTTTTTTTTTTTTTTTGCAAACACTTGCAGTTACTTATCACCGTGACAATTAGTGACAACTGTACATATTTGCCTTTTTTCATCTTTCAACACGTATCGCGTGCACGCGTACATAACAATCGTGTAACAATCAAGAGACAATAACAATAACTAACGCACGACGAAGAAAAGACAGCGTGGTGTGTAAAGTTGCGTTTAATTCGATTTAGGTCTCATGCATTCGTTAATAGTTTTGCATTGATCGCCACACCGAGACGAGATTAAATGAGAAACAAGGAAAATATACGTGTACGGTTCGATCGTTGTTTCGATAACGCTTTATTAATTGTTATTTATCTTAGAACGATTGGCCTGTGTTGGTACAAATATCAAAAACGTTTCAATTGGAACATGAATAAGTGAGTTGATCTGACGTCACGCTTCTTTCTTGTAGCTCGGTTTGTCAATTCGACGTGCTTGTTCAATACACCGTTAGACCGATACAAAATTTATTCTGCGCGTCGTTTCTTCGCGTTACTTTTCTTTTCGAACCGTTGCAGGTTTATCGTTGATGTAAGAAGATACAGTACGGAAGAAAGAGAAATCATTCGCGAGAAACGATCCGACTCGTTCGGAAATTAGGTCACTTCAAATCTTGGTCACGCAACCGTGGTCTTTCTTCAGGTGATTGAGCAGGTTGAACTTCATAGGCATGATGCTGTGGCAAAACGGACACGTGTACAAAATTCTGCCGCACTCCTCTCGAACGTGCCGATTTAAAGCCATTCTCGATCTGTACGCTTTCTTGCACTCGCAGCATACGTGGAAACCTGAAAGGAAGGAAGAAAGAAATCTTTGAGTACAGCACAGTGTTCCGTTCAATGCCGATTTCACGAATAAGCTGCCTCCCCGCAAAAGCATCGTCAAAGCATACTATTTCCTTTCTTTTTTTTCCCCTTCTTTTTAGCTGCCTTTCTCACCTTGTGTGGTTTCATTTTCGTGCGCTTTCTTCTTTCAGATTTCATTTGAATTCTTTCGTTAATTTCATCGGTATACATTCCAAGTTCCCCGTATCTTCACAATCCTACGCTTCCAACACATTTTCCTACACCATATACATATCGAACGTAATATACATATACACACCATATACATTACTTAACGTAATACGGGGTGTCCATAAAGTCTCTTTGCAATTTCGAAAATTTGGCAAACGAAAGACAAATAAGTGGAAATTATTACAAAATGAGACGTATATATTTAAGTTTTTTTTCTTTTTCTTTTACCTCATTTAATACACCTCTATATGGACATCGTTAGTTGCATGAAGCACATCAAGACGACGGTACACGATTTCTTTCCACGTTCGCTGTAGCACTTTCATCAATGGTGGCAATGGCATCAGTGATCCTCTGCTTTAGATTCGTGATATCTCGTTCGTATATCTTTGTTCGATACACGATATTTTTAACACAACACCTTGTGGATGTCCGTAAAGCATCTTTACAATTTCAAAAATTTATTACAAAGACAATTGATAAGATATCTTCGTCAGATTTGTTCTATATACTCAGTGGTTATCAAGATTTTTATCACATTGCATTTCAGGTATCCTGTTGATGAATAAGATACTGTTAAATGAACCCCTTACAAAATGGCTATTTCTCAAGAGAAGGCACAGTGTCTCATCATGGACTCAGCGAAACTTCAGAACCAAGTGTGGAAGAGATCCACCGTCACGTCCATCAATTCGTACATGGCACAAGAAATTCATGAAGACAGGGACAATGTTCGATAAAGGAAGAAGTGGACGACCAAAAACATCGATCGTGTAAGAAATCAAGTACCGTCTTGATGTGCTTCGTGCAACTAATGGTACCCATATAGAGCTGTATTAAATAAGGCAGAAAAACTTAAACATATACGTCTCATTTCGTAATAATATCCACTTATCTGTCTTTTCATTTGCTTTTATAATAAATTTTTGAAATTGTAAAGAGACTTTATGGACACCCTGTACAACGTAACGAAATAAAAACGTTATGTAGCATACGTTTCATTTATTAACGAGCACACATTTTTCATTAAATAATAATTTCGTCAAATAATAAATAAGAACAAGGTATACATAATACGTTCCATTGCGTTCTTATTTTGTAGGAAAATATTTAAAAAGCATCGTTTCCATCGACATAAATGAGGTCGCCGTTAATTCAAAAACAATTATATACTAGAGAAATGAGGTCGCCGTTAATTCAAAAACAATTATATACTACATCGTTATCGAGCATCACCGATCGTTAAGGAATACTTCGATAGATTAGCATTGCGCAGACAAATTCTTCGCGAATTTCCTCGGTAATCGAGTAGTCTCGTGATTCAGCGCGGCGTCAGAGCAACTTTTAGCCCTGAGAGAGCTTGATCGGTGCATGACTCGCGTTTTAACGCGGCAATCTTGTCCATGTTTCAATCGTAAGTGACGAATAAGACTGTCCCTTCGATTCATCAGGCGAAGACACTGAGGACACTGATACTGCTTCCTTCCACACTCCTCTCGTTCGTGTCGCACCAAGCTTTTCTTCCACTTGAACGTCTTGCCACAGGAACCACATGGATAAACGACAACTGAAACATGTAAAAGGAATTATTCGTTATTACGTATCGTGACAGGAATTACGTATCGTCAACCTTTGACGTTATACCCATCTGTCGTTGAACGTGATCGTTTCAACTTTTATTTGGCATCTATTCTAGAAAAGGGGTAAAACAGAAAAGAAAAACGAGAAGGGGGAATGGGAGAGACGTAGGTCGTCACGAGAGAGAAAAAACCCCGCGTTGTCAGTTACCTAAAAAAACAAAAAAAAGATAGTTTCTCCGATTGTTTGCGATACTCTTCTGTTTCTTTATTTTTGGCATTACGAAAATACATGCATTTACGAATAGCAGAGATTAGGTGTTCGCGATGATCGTGTCGTTCGTGCTCGACGAGAAGCAACGCAGTACGAGCCGAATGCTTTGTATTTATACAATCTCAGCTTTCCTTAACTCTAAGCAGTGTAAAGTCAATCACGCGTTTGCATAATGAACAACTGGCGAACGGTTTGATTTAAAGTTACAGAGAAAAAGGAGTATGCTGTCGGAACGTGGCTCCAACCGTGTTTCCGACATAGGACATATGAGACGTGTTGAAGAAACGAGTCGAACGATATCTCCACAGTCCAATGGTGTTCGTACATAATTTACCAGTGTGTTTTATAGATAAAAATATAATTAAAATTTTACGTAGCAAAATATTCATAACTGCACGCTATCTATGCGTCGTCGACTAATTTTTATTACTAATTCCTTCAAATAGTTACTTTTGCATTGTAAACTTTCGTTTTCAGACGACCTTGAAATGTGTTGTCAAAACTATCACTCTCAACTGTTTGCTGTAGATATAATGGGTTTTTAGTCTTGGTGTTCAAAAGTTATACACAAACATATTTTTGGTATCGTATATGTACTATTTTTCTATATTTTATATAAGACTGAACTCATGTTAGATATAATAATTATTACAAATTATACTTGCGTCAGTGAAATTGCACCATTATTGACATTTTTAACCACTTCTAATCCATTTTATTATACCACGGGCTGCCATCACATGTTTATTCCTTTTTATTTAAAAAATAACTTATTGCAATTTTCATTATTTCTTTCATGCAGCATTATTAAGGTATTAAAACAGATAATTACAATTAATAAAGAGGTAACACATCGACAGGTTCACTCGATATGTACCATATGTAATTTTATGTGACGCGAAAGCTAAGACTGAACATCCATTATATATATACAAAATTGTTAATAATTTTGTCAACATATTTCAAGGACGTTGAAATCAATGAAAAGGTAACCATAAAAGGTAACAATAAATTGACCCTTATTTCGTATTAAATTAAGAGAAAGAGTATTAATGCATTTAATGTTTCTTATGAAGCATTTATGGACTTTTTGCTCACCTAGTTTTATTGTTATCTATAAAAAAAAACAGCGGCAAAAATGTACGATATAGTATTGGACACGAATGTTTTCGTATTTGGAACACAATCAAGACCAACGATGCAAATATACATATGTGTATACATCAGGAAAGGATGATTTCCGTTTTGTACAGTTTAAAATACGACACAAATTGTATTTTTAACGATTTTTCGTGGTAAAGACATGATCAAACAATGCAATTTCTAAACTGAAATCGAAAACGTAACAAACATTCTCCCAACGTTCCCAACATTTCCGATGCAACGTCTTCCTCTTCGTCCAATTTCAAGCGCGCACGCTAGCCGAGCCGTAACCACGTCCGTTATTTACTTCCCACCGATCAATCGTAACGCAAAGATCCTGTTCAAGATCCGAAGAAAAACAACTTCTAATTTAACATTAGCAATCCAAAAAGAAAGCAGAAAAGGCGTAAAAAAAAAAAAAAAAAAAAAAACGCCAAAGTCGCGAGAAGTAAATTACGGAAGTGACTCTGATGTGGATCAATGATACCAAAGCAAGAACGAACAGGAGGACTCTACATGGTTTGCTTCTGCTTATTTCGTCGTCGATCCGAAAACCATTCAGGCAGGCACGAGGAAACTTCGTCGCGAATTAAGGCAATCGGACACCGCGTCGACACGAGACGCGGATCGAGAAACACTCGATGCGATGGGTTCAGGTGTTCGGCGATGTGACCTTGAAGTGCTGCTCGGCCTGATGGGCGTGTAGAATGAAGGCCTTGAACGCAGCGAACGGACACAAGGGACACTTGAACTGAGGCGGTTCGCACTTGTGCTTCAAATAGTTGCTCCACATCTTGTAGAACTTGCTGCACATTGTGCACGTATAGCCGAGAACCTGGTCGCCCATGTACATCTTCCGGTAGGCTGAAAGCAAAGGGACCAAGTTAGAAATAGCTGAGCTACGGAAACGAACGAGGGAGAGAAAGAGTGGCCAGCCTTCTTCGATCGAATCGCGTCCTCTATGAAAGATATAGAGGACGATACATCTCGCCATCGCGTCGATCGCCGTGCAAATTATTCTTCGCGAACGACTCGATTCGATCGGGAGAATGAGTATCTGCGGGTATAGTTAGGAGGCCGAAGGTTAGAAATCGTCAACATAGAACGCATTCCTGCGAAATCGGTTTATTACAGAGATCAAGTGGTCGTCACTCGAGGCGCAAGCGTGATTGTAAGTGTTCATGTACTCACTGCCACGAAACGATAAGTTAAAGCGACTATCCGCAACTAGTTATCGAAATCGTTGCTTTTCGATTGTTTCTATCTTGATCCACTACTCCACCATGCTTCGGGTTATTGCCTCTCCCTATGTTTCTTCTCCATATTTGTGCGACTCCGTCGTCGATCCGTTGTTGCCATACACTGTCGAAATCACCCATCGATAGTTTCTTTACATTAATCAGTGATCATTCGTGCTGACTCCATCTACCCAAAATTCGGAGTACGTCTTATCGTACTTCGCACTGAATCTTATTCGAATTTTAGTCGAAAAGTAGACGAAACACACGGAAATCACTTGTAAGGAAGTTTCGTAGATAAATATTCACGCGTTTAAAAAAAACGGGGGAAGGAGATCAATGCTTATAAGTGCTATGGCTACGATATACTGGTTTATCACAGAACCTGGGCTAACTTGAAACATTAACCGTCAACATTTTAACACAAGTAAGAAGAGCGTCATCGAGAAATTTTCAAATTCCATCGCACAAATCGAATGTCGCCACCGTGTTTCTTGTATATCGTATAACAAAATTTATTTTACGCGATATGACGAAAACAATCCACAATGGTGGAGGTTAACTGTCAGGTTATCATTCGAACGACAGAGTTCTCTTAAAAATCATCAGAGTTCTCAGATTGTGTCATTGATCTTCGTAAAATAGGAGGACGAATAAACTATCAATTGTAAACATTGCTGTGATGTTTCTTTTTGTGATTCTCTATACACCACTTGTGAGGACTTTTATAAGGGCAAGCGTCGCACGTGAATTTTGGCTTGGCATTGATACATTCGAATTTTAGATGTCTCCAGAGTGATCGATGTACTGCATACGCCTTGCCGCAGTCGACGCAAACGAAACTCCTCTCTCGAAAATTCGAATTGCCACCTTGACGAAGTTGCTGTTGCTGCTGTTGCTGTTGCTGCTGCTGATGTTGTTGTTGTTGTTGCTGGTGCCAACTGTTCCTTCGAGCAAGTCGGTTTTCTGGCTCGAACGCAACGATGGTCTTGTAAGGCCACAACAATGCTGAAACAACAACAGCAGATTGGTTAATTGGATCGATCGACCATCGAACATCGCGAAATGATAAGTAACAGTTTTTCATCCAACACATAGATAATACGATTAACAAATTCTTTCTTATCCACGGATCGCTGAACATTCAAGAAATTTCCTTTCTCACTGTCATGTTGAGTCGATTCCACTTCGCCGAAAAGAACCTGAAAGTAACCTTCGCAGAGTATATATTTGAATCGCATCGTACATTTTTTTTTTTTTTTTTTTTTTTTTTTTTTTTTTTTTTCAGGGCACTATTAAGAAAACGAACGGTGTTGCAATCGATATATACATATATACATATATATACTTATATGTATATATATAGTTACTGTTTAGCAAACACAGATCACTACGTTCAAGAAAATGTCCACGTTCGTGATATGGTGGTAAAATCTATTGAATAATTTATTTCATTCTCGAGTTAACAAGCAACCTGAGCATTTGTTATTTATTTTGGTAAAACAGCGACGTTTACAATATTATCGAATTTGGATGACGATATACTGAAGAACGATCAAATGCATATAGTATTAATAAAAATTAATTTGTTCGGAATTTATGATACATCGATCGTATTTAACTTGAATCGAATGTGTAACTCTTTCTCGAAAGAAGAAATTTTTTAACGAACGCAAAGCGAAAAAATATACAAGAGCCTAACGGTTCAGTAATATACGTTGATTAATTATACGCGCTTGTCGTATTATTCGCTTTTTATATAAATACAACGACAATGACCACGATTGTGTAATCGTCAGATTAAATGGAGAATTCAAACGATAATATCTGCTTCACCTGTAATACTGACTTTTTTTTTACAAAATCACAAAAACTCTCTGAACGACACGCGTACGATTAAAACCGGTTTTCGTTACAGTTACAAATACTTTTGCTTATGAAATAATATTATTATATACGTGCGAAGTACTACGTCTTTCGTATGGATCCTGTAACCACTGGCAATTTTATTCTCTCATGATACAATATAGTCTACGGCTGCCAAATCGGCTGTAGCCGATTTTCTGAATAGAAGATACCATGATAAGAGACAGAAGTAGTCACAGACAGTCGACGACTATTTCCTCGTTTCGTTCGAGTCGACCGTGCGATGGAAAGTCTTCATATGCCTTCTCACGCAAAATGAATAATTGCTACGGAAGTTGCACAGATCGCAACGAAATTTCAGCACGCCGGTATCGTGAACATTTCGCACGTGCCTTTCCATGTTCGCTTTGTAGGTGCTCTTGTACGGACAGAACGAACAAGCGAATTGTGAATTTCTGGGATTCATCTTGCAGCCAAATTGCACGTGCCTTCTCAACAAGTTCTTCAAAGGAAAGACCTTCTTACAAAAGCCGCACATGTGTCGTTTGTGATGGCTCAACAAAGATTGTGCAGCCGCGGATATCTTAAATTTATCGAATTCCGGAGGAAGTTGTAGACCATCAACGGGGCCGTAGTTGGTCATGTAACCTTGTACGTTCCAAACGTCTGAAACAAAGCAAAAGAACATTGATGAAACAGAGATCACGAAGATGCCTCGACGTCGTTGTTTTTTTTTTTTTTTTTTTGTTTTTTGTTTGTTTTTTTTTTCAAATCGAGCGAACTCGTACGACGCCGCATCGAAATCTTGTTCAACGAACAAATGCTCCGTGAGCATCCTTCGACCGCCTCTTTCAACAGAAGAATCATACATCACAATTTCTTTTGTACAGCTTAATGAAGGAGCAATCAAAATTTAGCGTGCTAAATGAATAACATTGTAAGAGAGAAGAACATCACGGACCACGTTTGTTCAATCTTGCAGCAATCTGCTTGCAAAGACAAACGTAGAAAACGTAGAAAATCGTTCAATGTGTGCTTGTTTATTAAATAATTGAAAAATAATATATTTGTCAAATAAAAAGTGAGGTGAGACAGATAGAAGAAAGGAGAAAGAGAGAGACAGAGAGAGAGAGAGAGAGAGAGAGAGAGAGAGAAAGAGAGAGAGAAACAGGAAAATAGAGAGAAGGAAAGTGACACCAAAGTAATTCCCTATCAATATATACCATCGTTGACGCAGTCATGCGACCTTAATCATCTTCCTATCGTTCGGATTTGAACACTTTTCAAGTTTCAACGTCCATCCTGACGAGAAAAGATCGTTTAGTCTGGAAACGTGTGGAGAAACGACGGAAAAGAGGGCAGGCAAAGGTAATGTGACGCTAAGCTGGTACTCGCAAGTGCACGTGTCTCATATGCCTGAAGAGTATGTCCTTTCTGCTGGTTCTGTAGTCGCAGAATTTGCAGCAGAACATAGGTGGTACTCCGCAACCAGTGTTCAAGTGACGCTGGAGATTCGCTTTCCAAGTGTAACCTTTGCCGCATTTCGGACAGACAAAGACAGGTTTGCCGAATTGGTTCGGCATCAGAAAGTTGTCCAGCTGTTGGCCAGACCAACCAGCCCCTAAAAATCAAAAGTGTTTCCGTTAGAGAAAATACTGTTCGTCCATTTTTCCATCAAGTCCAACCAACATCGAATAAATCGTAGCGCTTAGAAACGACAGCGCGTCCGTCTGAAAAAAAAAAAAGAAAAAAAGAGAAACGAAACGATCAATGTACAGATTTGACATGACCGACGTGAAAGATTTGTTTGAACGCAGGGAAACGGAAATCGAAATGGCCATCAAATCTGTGGACCGTAAATGAACGAACATCGACCAATGAGTACGAATGAAACGACTGTCGAGGAAAACGTATCAAGATACGATTCAGAATCTCAATACGACAATTATTTCTGAACATTTATTGAGTGGAACACGACGATGACTATTCATTGAGGGAGAATGTTAGGATACGATTTACGAATCCGTACTCTACGTAAAAGTACAATACTTTTTTCATGAATGATATATATTTATTATATCCTTATATCAGCAACAATAAAAACTACAATTTATTCAACTCTCAATTTATTTATATTATTTATAGAACGCATAAAATTTGATCAATTCTTGTGAACTATATCATTCCAGATATACCACAGTGTTTGAATTTACTCTTACAAAAGAGATATATACTGGTTTCGATCTCATCGCGAGAAGCACGATAATCCGTGCAACACTACTTGGCCATCTTTGACGCAAAAGCTGTGTGCTCACGCCTGACGTGATACTTGAGTAGAGTCGGTATTCTAGCCCTGTGGGTGCAATAAGGACAAGGATAAAGCGGTTCCATTTGGCAGAAAAAATTCATATGTTTCCGCAAACTTCTCCAGTCGCTGTACTTCTTTGCACACTTCAAACAGAGAAGATCGTCCCTGCAACGCCTCCAAATAGCACGTGGCAGCCGATCGCAAAAAAGTGGACCTTTGACTGAAACAACATTGGAAAAATGCATTAGTGAGTGACCTCTCGCTTGAAAAGAAAGACGGAAAAGGCAACGAAAGAAAGAAAACACGAGATGTAAATCAGTTTTTAACAGAATATACGTAAGATCGATAACGTAACGACGATGACACAGAGATGCGGATCTTTAAATTAAAACAAGTAAACATTTTTGATTAAGTCGTTTTTACGATTAATTAGGAAAACGATGCACAGACAAACAGATAAATGGAAATAATTACGTACAATCTCTTTCTTTCTTTTCTTCTTTTCCTTCTTTTTACTCGAGTTGATAAAAAAAAAAAAAAGAAATGCTTACAATTAGAAGCAGCTGTTTCTAACACGTAAAGAAGCATGTTCCCGTTACGCCAAAGATTTTTTTCTTTTGTTACATTTCAGTGTGCCAGTGTGAAAGAAAAACGTCATGTCAAATACGTAAACCGTATGTATTTATTATTTTCACGCAACACCTTACACAACAATAAATTTTTTTCCTTATATTGTATTAGTCGGTATATCGCGAATCGAAGTAAAGGAAAAATCAATGCGGATTTTGAATCTCTGGTACATGAATGTTTTCAATTTTTCATTTTACCAACGTTATTCTCCTTTACCATCGTTACTGAGAGAAATAAAACGAACAAGAGATAAATAATTTTCACAGCCCGATTAGTTACCAGACGCGAGCTAACAAAAAATTAACAATTTGACGATCGCGATACAATTTAATGTAAACCGCCATTTTTTATGTCAACTTTAAATTCTACTGTATATCATTGTAAAATTCTTTTAAGTGCACCATTGCAAATATCTAATCCTAGTACTTTTTTTTTTTTTTTTTTGTAACGCAGTCTTAAAAAGTTATTTAACATAATAATAATATGATAATATAAGAATAATAATGATCATGATGCAGATGATAATGACGATAATATTAATGATGATAATACTTATGATAATGATGATGACGACAATAATAAAAAATAATAATAATGATAATAATAACAGTAATAGTAGTAGTAGCAGTAGTAGCAATAGTAGTAGTAGTAGTAGTAGTAATAGTAGTAGTAGTAGTAGTAGTAGTAGTAGTAGTAGTAGTAGTAGTAGTAGTAGTAGTAGTAGTAGTAATAGTAGTAGTAGTAGCAACAGCAACAGCAGTAATAGTAATAGTAATAGTACTAATAGTAACAATAATAATAATGGTAATAATAATAAGAGAAACAAGAAGAAGAAGAAGAAGAAGAAGATGAAAACGAAAAAAAAAAGAAGAATCTTGTAATAATAGCACTTATAATAGTATAGTAGTAGTAATAGTAGTAATAATAGTAGCAGTAGTAACAGTACTAATAGTAGTAATAGTAATAATAGTAATAATGATGAAAAAAAAATAATATAGTTCATATAGCACCATTAAAGTGTATCGAATTCAAAGTTACACTTTGTAAAGATACGCAACAAAGTATGGTGCGCAAAGGTACACAAGGTTAATGTATCACTCGATAAACCACAATATGTAAAAACGAATATGTGATGTTCTCTTAGCTAAAGTGCACGTATACCTAGTCAGTTTGAATAGTTCGAAAATATTTAAAACGAAACTTTACACAACACACCGACAGTAATAAAATTTAAAATTTTTAAAATATCATCAAAGTCAAATAATGCTTTCAAATATGTAACGTCAAAATATTTCCAAATTACAAGCGTATCACCTCCTTATATCTTAATACATCGTTGATCTAACTATAAGACACTTGTTAAACAAAGAGCACATAATTATCACGGATATCGTTATCATTGTATCCCTATAATTCCAATTCTTCGAGATACCTATCGTAAAACATTTCTTTTGTGTTTCTGTAATATTTATAATCTTACTTTATATATATATATATATATTTTTTTTTTCTGATAGTCGAAAGCTTATCGAAAGGCCGTTTAGTATTCTAATCATTGGCAGATACTTATAATAACAAACAGTGTGTGCGACATAATCCATAGTGTTAACAAAATTCTTTTTGTGTTTTTCCTTTTTTGTATATACATACAGAATAATTTCGAATATTAAAATCATTGCAAAAGCTATATGTTATTTCTAAATTAATTAAATTTTTCTTTACATACTAAATTATGTAACATAAAATTAAATTCGTAGTTCATAATCAACGTCAAAAAATTATAAACTCTTTAGAAACATGCCTTTCGTACAACAAAGGAGAAAAAAAAGAAAAGAAAAGAAAAGAAAAGATAAGAAAAATCATTTCCTGAAGGAACGCTTCATGTTTTTCTGATTGATTTCTTATCATTACCAAGACATGAAAATATCACACTCAAGAGTCGATCAATCTGAAAGAATTGTTTGACAAAACGTTTTGTCAAAAAAAANAAAAACGTTTTGTAAAAAAAAAAAAAAAAAAAAAAAAAAAAAAGAAAAAGAAAAAGAAAAAGAAAAAAGAAACAACGTCCAAATCTAGCGTGTACTCAATATCTCTAAACATAATCATAGACAGTTTAATGTCAGTTTTCAAAAGAAAGCATCTTCATACTCCGGTATCTTCGGACTTTTTTACTTCCGCATGGCACATGTTCACCGGCTGATACTCTTGAGAAACAGTGTTACTGGTGTTATCGAAACTGTCATTATGGAAATTTTTCAAATGTCTGATTAGACTGCAACGTTGCGTAAACATGCGTTGGCAAACAAAACAACGAAATTTTCTTTTGACACCACACGCGTATTGAATGTGGCGATCGAGATTCCCTTTGGTGGCGTAGGACCTCTTGCAACGTGCACACTTCCATTTGCCCGTGGTATTCCTGTTTTTACCGCAAACTGTCCGACGATGGCGATTCAGGGTGAACACGTGTGTGTATCCTTTCCCACAGTTCGAGCACATGAAAGGTTTATCCGTTTCTGGCATCCATTGTTGAGAACTCCGATATCCAATCTCCTCGAAGAGGAGATTCTGATACCCGGGGCTCACACCTGGACTGAATGGATCCGCGTTGTTCTGGACATCGATTAGCGGCAGACACTTTAGGTACATTTGGTCATCCGGTTTGCTCTCTAACAAAAAAAAAAAGTAAACACATGTTAAGGAGGGAAGAAACATAAAAGTTTCAGGGATAGAAGAAAGTTTATTGAACCGAATATAGTCGACAGAGGAAGAAGAATTTATCGAAAGAAACAAGCCTAAGCTTCTCGTGTGATTAAAGAAACAACACGCGATCCGAAATTTATAAAAGAAATTATAGATTACTGCAAGTATGACAGTCATATTGTGGAGTCACCTGCGTCATGACCTACGCACATCGCGGTGGAAAGATGAGAAGACTATCAATGATATCCAGGATATCAATTAAATGGACCGGACGTTTCCTAAAACCGAAAACACGTATCCTGCGTTCTGTAAACTAATTGTTTACGACCAAGAATAAATGATCCTAGTAGTTTGCTATTAGAAGTAGGATTGTCGCAGGATATCTATTCTCGGTCTACGTAGGTCATAACTTTCCACATTGTGGCTGTCACAATCGCGATGAAAAGAATATTTGTATTATAGAAAGTAAAAGAAAATTAGAGATAAAGAAATGGTCTTTCTCCCTAGATGCTCTTTTTCCTTCTCTCTCTCTTTCTCTTTCTCTCTCTCTCTCTCTCACTCACACACTCTCTCTCTCTCTCTCTCTCTCTCTCTACTCTCTCTTCTTTCTCTGTTACTCTCAAACTTGTTCTCACTCTCACTTTCACTTTCGCTCTCATTCTTCAAACTTCCATTCGAAGAGCAATTACGAGAAGGAAAGAAAAGAAAAAAAAGACCAATAACAATTTTGCTTATTCTTTTCGCACGTACATATCAAACAATGGTAATGATTAAACGATTGAAGATCTTTAAGACGAGATTGTTCAGTAATAATTATTGTATACGTACTTGTACATTGAAATGATATGCAAGACAAGCGTCTTCGGAGTCGTCATCGATTAGAACAAGAAAATATTGCGATAAAAAGATTTACTATTTCTTTTGTTATTACATCGAGAAACGAATTGTCGAACAATATAAACTCGAAAGCATTCTGTAAACTTAGAAAGCGAACGCTAACTTTGCAACCAAGAACATAAAAATTAATGTGCGTGTACGTATGCGTTGTTACATCATCTTCCAGTGGGAGACAAACGATCGTTGAGCTACGTATGGACAATGTAACGCTATTTCACGAAATCTGAGGCTGCCTGCCACAAATCTGAAGTTACTACGCGACAAAGCCAACGCTCGTCGATCCTTTTTTTTTTTTTTTTTTTATCAAGATCGAGGATGCTTCGTTATTCATTATACATTTCGCGTGGACGTTAAAACAAAGTAGCAATGGACGTACGAACATACGTAGACTATGATTGCTTCGCGTAATTCTATTCAAAATGCGAAATAACTATCGGCTAAGCCTGTCCATACATAGCTTTACGAAAGGTGCTTGAAGATTTCGTCGGGAAATTTTATTATTATGTTTATTATTTCTGCTAGACACTCGATGACACATCAAACTACTATCGACGTTCTAGAAGACGAGTTTAAAATGGACTTTAATAATAGATCGTTGAAAACAAATTTCACACCGACTATGTTAAACGCGTATCAGCCGAAATCTTTTAAGAAGAATTTGAACGATTAAACTTCGTGTAGCTTGCGGGTATTTATCGCGTGTTTCGATCATTTTTGGCGAAGTATCTTCGGTTTCGAGGATGCAGGCTGGATCACTTGCTGTGGTTGTCGTTTCTTCAATGGTGTAACATCATCAGAGCAGGCTTGGTTATTGATCTTCGAGCGTGGTGTCGGGTAACGCATTACTCTTGAGGCGAAGGTGATTCTTCGGTGAAGGATCAAAAATTCTTCGGAACGTAGGATTATTTCGAAGAACAGCCTCGAAATCGTCTAGTTAGATTTTGTTCGTAGAATAACGATCCAACTTCTCCAACTTTGAAGAAGTACGTGACTGAAACCCTTGCAAACCCTTTACAGTAGCGAGAACGCTTGGTAGCGAGTCATCGAAGAACGAGTCAGCTTCGCAAGACCTAGAAGAACATTAACAGTAGAAAATCATGTTAATCGCGAGCCAGAAATATCGAAACTATCGGCGCGACAGCGATGAACTACAAGGCCTTTCCATTTGATTTCTGATCTGGGAGAGTCGATCGGTCGATCGATCCTCCCAGAGATAGTGTTCTCCCATCTCCTGGCCGTCGATGCCCTGTTATAAAAAAAAAATTCTAAAGTCGCAGCAAAAGGATATCGAAGAAAACATATTCAGACGAACGACTCGGAACATGGACAAGGCAGAGCACAAGGAGCAACCTAGCGTACCTTTGGAAGGATTCGGATGGGAGCAGGAGAGAGAAAATTATCTGAACACAAAGAAAAAAAAAAGAAAAAAGAAAAGAGAAAAAAACCGAACAAGGAACAGACAAAATGGACAGAAAGGCGCGAAACTCTGTTATCCGCGGTGACACTCTCGTCGACTGTAAACGAGATTGCCATTTAAAACTAGAATCGAAAGTCGAAACTGTTCTACATGAGCAGTTTCCACTTGAGATTTTCCATCCCCTTGACAACATCGATCTTATGAATCGCGATCACATGACGTTGCAGGCTCGTCTTTTGAGTGAAACTGTAGCCGCAGTAGAAACAGGGAAACTGGCGTTTTCCTCCGCATTCCCTATTTATGTGCCTCCTCAAGTTACAGAGCATCGTGTAGCCTCGGCCGCATTGCTGACAGGTGAATCGAGGCCTTGCTGTCAAATGAAAAAGAAAAACACTACTGTCAGAAAATTTCATCAAACGGAAGCAAATTGAACAACATTGGTATATCAAGAAACTATCGATTTTCTGACACATATATATATATATATGTATATATGGAAGTTTCTAATCGACGAGACAAACGTGTCACAAATGCTCTGTCTTCGCATGAATTCCCAGTCATCGGTAAAGCGGAGCAAATTAATTGTCAGTCTCTCCCTCTCTTTCTCTCTCTTTCTCTTTCTCCCCCTCTCTCTCTCTCTCTCTCTCTCTCTCCAGAAAAACAAATAGGAAAAAGAAAGTTCTTCCTGTATGATTTGATCATTTGGAAAAATGAAAAATGTTTCTCTGTGAACAAGAGGAACCCGGTGAAACTGGGAATAACTTTCATCGGTGCATTACGTCCAGTAAAAACTACACCGGAACTGAAAAAAAATTGCGAGAACGACAAAACGATGGTGCGTGTTCTTCTAAAAAAATGGTTCTCTGCTTGCAACTCTGTTTAAATTAACGGTTAACATTGCAGTTATCACTTTTGCTACGTGTCAAATGAATCAACGACCAAAACGAACACGACTGTGAATAATCGTTTATTTAATTCTACATGGCGAGAGCCCGCCACTGGGACATTGAGAAAATACGATTACGCGTCTTCGACGTTCGACGTTTTCCGTACAGTTCTTCGGGCAAACGAATCAACTGAATCTTCATCAATCTTCAAAGTAGCTTTTCTTCCGTGTACTCTCTCTCTCTCTCTCTCTCTTTCTCTCTTTCTCTTCACTGTTTTTCTCTTCGCTGATGATCTTCCAGTTGCGGGAGCATTAGTGACAATGAATCAATCATGGTGACCTGTAAAAAACACATTTTGTACAAAATGTTCGAATTTTAGGAAACGATCCCCGAGGTTCGACTCGAACGAGTGACAGATAAAGGTGCAGCTTCCCGCAGGCGTTCATTTTCTTCAACAATTTATTACTGATTCTACCGTTTTACATGAACGAAAGTTTTCTCGATCTAATCGCGTGTCTTGTATCAAAAGGTACAGGCTTCTAACGGACAAAAACATGAAAAAATACGCGGGATTCAGCTGTACGCGGATCTCATCCACGTCTTTCGCGGCGGTACGAAGATATTGTGCGCGTTTAGCATGTGTTGCCTTAGCTTCCCGTTCTGCGTGTATCTCGCCGGGCATAGATTACACGCGAAATGCTTCTGGCCACCGCACTCGAATCGCAAGTGTTTCACCAGATTGTGCCTCATTTGATACGATCTGCCGCACTGGTGACAGGTGAACGATTCCACACTTCTGAAGCATCCGTTTCTGGACCCCCATGCGACAATTTGCGGTTCTGTAAAATAATGAAAACGATACATAAAGTAGACTCTACCAGTGAAGAATTGTCAACGTGAGGTGCTTTATAATAATGCTTGCCACCACTTTCCTCTGTCTCCATCGTCCCGTTCTCACTAGAAACAGCTCTCTCGCTCAACAATTAAAGAAAATCAGGTTGTCTCGTGCGCAATGTTTATTATTCATTTATATCGCTTATTATAAACAACGCTCTTACAGTGATCTATATCGTATTTACTTTTGGTTGTTCACCACGTCCTATCACTATATAATCTGACAAATATACCTTCTCGTTCTGGAGACGAAAGGTGAACGCTCGTCATGCAAAGGATCGGAATGCTAATTGGAAACTGTCGACCGGACGACAGCGATTCGACAACAGAACTTCAAACCAACTGAAATATTACAAAAAAAAAAAAATTACAACCGCGTTCGAAAAATGATTCAAATCGGCTCGATTTGACTCAACGTCTGCGTTTGGATACGTTTGTTTCGTTCTGTTGTTGCACTCTCATCGCTAAGCAAAGATTCGCTTAGGAATGGAGAACTTTGGTGGGAGATAAATGTTGTGCTTTTGCAACAGGTGACGACGCAGGCTAATGTTCTGCGTGTATTTCGCCGGACAAACGTGACACGTGAAGTTTCTTCGTCCGCCGCATTCGAATTTTATGTGAGTGGCTAAGCTTTTCTTCACTTTGTACGCTCTGCCGCATCGTGGACACTTAAATGGCATCTGTACCGCGCTCGTACATGCGATGACACTCTCAAATCCGATTGTCCTTTTGAATCCTAGAAATAAATGGGAGAAACCTATTAGAGGAGAGTAATCGATATTCAGCCGATTTAATACGACTCACACGGAATAGATCAAACGGGGAAACGATCTCACTTTCACATTTGGAAACGCTGGTCAAAAAATTGCTGTGTGTCGTATGGAGGAGTCGGTTAACACTTATAAAAAGGAAAAAAAAAATTTAAAAAAAGTTGTTTGAGCGGCAACAATGGTACGATAGTGACGTAATGAAAGAAATTGATTTTTAACGAATGTAGAAAATGCACTCGTTTATTCGATTCGTATAAATACTTATAAAAAAAAGCACGACAACAAAATTGATTCTCAAATCGTGCTCTAGTTCTATTATAGTTACCTGTCTATGTTATTATCCCCCTATTGCCGTTCCTACTATTAGAAGATGACTTTAGCTGATCGCAATTTCCACAACACCGTGAATTTGGAAATAACAAAACGAAATATTAAATAAGAGAATCTTGTAAACAGAAGTAAAATCGACGCTTCGTTCTAACGGTGTCGATCGAAGTTGAGCTTTCGGGGGAAAAAAAAACTTGCCAACAGGGCAAGTGAACTTGAACACGATTGAATTACACTCGTCGTTTCGATGCTACACTCCAAAATGACGTGCACAACTGATAGCTATACGATTCTTCTTTCTTCTGCTTTCTGTTCGATTGATCTTATCCGATCGATCGCTTGTACACTCGAAAATTCCGTGACGTTTCAACGAAAAATTACCGCCGCATTACGGAAGAAAGATTTGAAAGGAAGGAACGAAAGTTCGTAGGATATAAAACTTTGTAGAACGTGTCGACGCAGAGTGGCACTTTGCGAGAATCTTGCGAGAACAAATGTTTCACAGGTGAAATTTTTCTATCCGCCGCGCTCGAATTTCACTGGTTAGTGGTTAAACATCTTTTCATCTCAAACGATCGCCAGGCGTTTATTCGGATCTTATACGTGCGACATTACTCTCAAATGTTGAAATGTCTACTGCTGGTCATCCTAAAAATAAACGAGATGTCCCATTAGAGGCCGATCTCACTTTCGCATTTCAGGAATGCTTGTTGGGAGATTTCTACGTAAGAAATCGTAGCTCGATCCGCGGCGTTCGAAGAAAAGTCGTTTGTACAGCGATAGCAGTTCCACAATAACAAAGGAAAGCTGGTTTTTTGTTGAATATAGAGAGTGTACATGTTTATTCGATTCATACAATTACACTTTATCTTTGGAACTGGGTTTGCAGCACATCTTCTAACAAAAGTGCGACTAAATTAACAGGTCGGTGTTCTCGAATCATGCTCTATTCCTATTACGTTTACGAAGCGAATTACCTTGCAATTCGAATCAATTACTATCTTCCTATTACTATTCCTAGGTAGTAAAAGTTAACCGCGTTGCTACGACTAATATCACGAACCTGAAGATGACGAATCAAATAATAAATGTTAAACAAGGAAATTCCAAGAGTACCGAATACCCATAAAAATCACAATACTTTTTTTTTTTCGTTTTTACATTTTTCAAATCTTTACGTACGAGACGAAAGCAAAATCAACGACGACGTTCAATGTTTCGTTCTAACGTGTCGATTGAGGTTGGTCTTTTGAGAGAACTTGATCTTGCAAATGGGACAACTGAATTTGGGCTCGACGCCGCACTCGTAGTTCCGATGTCTCCAAAGTGACGTGCACAACTGGTAGCTACGACTGCAATTAGGGCAGGTATGCTTTTTCTTTCGTCTTCTTTCCTGCTCGGCCTTTCCCATAACGGTCGACAGCAAGTTACACTCGAAGCTTCTGTGGCGTTTCAACGAGGCCATTAAGGCAAAGCAACGATTACAATCGGTGCAGAGATACTTTCGTGGACCATATCTGCGCATCTTGTCTTGATCGCCCTTCAGCGTCATGGAACGGAGATGCCTAGTACAGGTGACTGGATTGCTCGGTATTGTCGACATCGTTGGCAATGTCAGCACTGTCCAATTAGACGAGCTGTAATTCTGTGTATCTGAAAACGAACAAACGAAATAAAAGACTTTTAGCATTTCTCTTCTATACGCGGGACTACGGTGAATAACGCGCGATCGTAGATCTGCATACGTTCTATCTGAGATCTGAAAATATATTTCGTATTTCGTGGCGCATGTGTTCGTCGTTCCGTTTCGAATGACAGAAAACGTAAAATACAGAGGATCTTTATTTACAAGATGTTCTGCAATGATGTGTCTACAATGATGATAAATAGACGATAAAAACACGGGAGGGGGACGCCGTGTTAAGATGCGGTGTTGGATGCGAGAAGCAAAACGTCGACGGCGGTACAAAGTTATAAATTTTGCGGGAAATCTTGGTAAGAAGCGAACGTGCTTCCCTGAATATTCACGGTACCCTCGACATCGGCAAGGGCGTTCACCTGTTGCAATCTGTAGCGTGGATTCTGATCGAGAAATAGCCGATGTCTCGCCAGTATGTGCTTAATCAGACTGTCCTTGTACCGAGTCCTGTGCGAACAAAAGGCGCATTTGAACTTTGGATCGATGCCGCACTCGAAATCGTGATGCCTCTTCAAATGATGCTTGTGTTTGTACGTTTTGCCGCAGGTGGTACAGGTATGCTTGAACACCGAAATCACAGGATACTGGCACTCCACTGAAACAAACGTAAAATTTCGTTGATTAGTGGAAATCGGATGTTCCGAAATGGTACAGTTCCCAAACTTAACTCGTCGGACGGTCACGAACCCACTTGCGTTCCTCGATCCGACAAATAAGAAACGAAGAAAGAAAAATAGGAGGTGACGGCACTCGGAAGGGAAGGTACGCACCAAACATCAGACAATCGTTTTGATACAGAACGTGTCAGGTTTTTTTATTTGATTCGTGCCACTTTTTTTTCGCTCGACGATCGACGAAAATCACACAAAACTGCTTCCAAACCAACCAAATGAATTTTGCAAAGTTCGACCTGATGCGAACAACGTAAATATTTCTATGCTTCTATCCTCGTTCTTGTCGTCGTCTGTTCATTTATCCATCTCGTTTCAGTTCACCCTTCAAACATCCAAATGCATATGAATCGAGAATACCGATTGTTTTCGAAAGTTATTATCGAATCTGTGTTTGTATCTGTGTGCGTGCATGGCTGCTTGTCTCATGTGTCTACGTGTATATGAGAGAGAAGACGAAGAGATCACGTTAAGATTGCTTTTACATCGGCTCTTTCGTTTCTAATAAACGCCAGTCTCGAGCGCGACTCGACTCGTACACGCTTGATATCGATCAAAAACGATATCGATTGCTAGTCGTTCAGGAATTTCTCTGTTGCCTGACACTCGCTGTTCGTGGCGTAAATCCAGATCTGGCGTGCTTCATCATGTGCACCTGAAGATACGACTTGTAGGTGGCTCGATACGGACAGAACGTGCATTGGTGCGTCGGTTGTTTACCGCATTCGTTTATCATGTGTCGCCGGAGATTCTTCATTTGATGGTAACGTCGATCGCAATTGTCACACGCGAATCGACCTTGTCCGCGCGACCTTCTTCGATCCTTGGGCATTCGACTCACGTAGAACCGCATTTTTGCGTAATCTGCAACCAGGAAGAAATCATTTGGTTAATATTCTAAGTTACAAATCGCGATCGTCGTTCCTTCGATCGTCGTTGACCGGATTATTTGCGACAATTAATGCCCTTTGATTTATCAACGTGAGTATATTATGTATATATATATATATACATAAAATACAGGGGTGTATATACGTACATATGTACCTCTAAGCGTACGGACAAGCCGTGCTTGCGAGAGAAATGAAAGCATAACAAAGAAAAGAAGTAATCTTCTAGTTTGTCCGAAATGTAAAACAAACGAGACACGTTTTTGTTACATGCAGATGATATTGTACACACGTACACGATTGGACGAGTCGACGTGGCTTTGGATTGAAGATATTTAATTTAAAAACAGAAAAAAAAGAAAAAGAAAAAAAAAAAAAAAAAAGAACAAAAGACGAGAAACCAGTATGTGTGCTCGATGTCAATTTACTCGAGTGTCAAACATCAAGCAACGTTGCGCAACAATGCGTCCCGGAATTGATAACAACGGTGTAATGGATAGCAACTGGCAAGTTGTGAATAGCCATCAGGTTGTATCAGACGAAGTATATTTTCGAAAATTTCAAATTACATTTCACCAACGATCGGTGAACGATACAACGATCGGTATTGTCGGAGCCGATATTTATACGGGTGAACTCGATACTTGTATGGGTTACATTTTTCTAGGTGCACGATCATCATCCAATCACAAGCAGAGGAGATTTGGATGAATACGCATAACGTGTACACTGTTCCTACACTTGCTAACGTTGCCACAGTACAAGCATTTGCATTTCTTCTGTCAGCTTTTTCAAAACTCCGTCGTGAGGTAATGTCTCGAAGATCTTTCAACCTACAGTTCCATAACGGATTCACCGTCGCTTTTCATTTCGTTCGTGTCTCTCCGCGACGTGAACTTTCTCTCACGCGATCGGAACTGCATCGTGAAATCGATCTTCAAATTAAACGACAGTCGTTCGTGCATCGTGTAACCGAAATACGGAGCAAATAGACAGAAAAGGAGAAGGAACGGAAAGAAAGAGAAGGAGGAGAAAACGGCACGAAAAGAACGAATCGAAGGATTTCCTAACTTTAATGTTAACTTTAATCGAAAGAATCGATCGGTGTATTACCCTCCACTCCGATTGGAGAAAATTTTGACATGGCAAAATGACAACAGTGGAAAAGGAAAACGTCACCTTGCCGAAGAACGGAACACCCCGTTGTGTGTGCAATGAACATCGATCTTGGTAAAAAATATAAAACTTCCAAGTTTGAAAATGTCTAGGTTTTATCTGCCGTTAACAGGCAATATTTACAAAGTATGCGTAAGTATTGCAAGCACGATAATTAATATTTCATGTCTAATTAGATCGAACTTTTGAACAACGTGCAATGTAACTGTCACAACGACCGGATATTTCCACGCATTTGCACAATACGGTTTATAGGTTTATTTATTTATTGTCGATCGCGTTTGCGTATGTATAGTAAGCGTGAGTGAATTGTTCGTATGCTCGACGTATACACTTCTGCACATCTGTTGTAATCTACTTGGATTTTTCCTAATTTCGTCTACAAACCGACACAGGGTATGTAGATTTAGGTCATGCATGGCGATTAATGACTCAGGTATCAACTCTTTCAACTTTTTCAACTCTTTTGCGCATAAATCGATGTTGGACACGAAGCATCCGCTTTACGCGCATACACAAATTTATTTAAAAATGGGCACTCGAAAAGCGCATAAGCGTGGTGGATATATTACTTCTTTCTTTCTCGCAATCGCTTGGAGAACTTCTTCTATTCTTACGAGAAATGACACAACGTTTTGTAGAAATAACACAGCGTTATTAAATTTCACGAAAGTAAAATTAATATTAAAAATTTTCTAGCGTTTCTCTTTTCGTTCGATAATTAACAGAAAGACTTTCTTTCTGTTTCATTGCCGAAAGAAATTGGAGAAAGATGAATTGAAAATCAGGGACAGAGGAGCGTATATCACGTAGACCGAAAAGGGGGAATTTTCATGGTGATTGGCGCACATTCTTCAACAAATGTCGATGCGTTTCAAGTAGAAAGTAAAGTGATCGTTGACGAAGTAGATTAATTGCCAGCGTTCATAGAGGACGACAACTTATTCCCGTTTGGCATCGTGTAGAATTCGCTCAATAGTTTCATATGTCTGCCATTCAAGTGGGTGTTCAAGCTGGATTTGTGCTTCGTTCTGTAAGGGCAGAGGGGACAGTGGAATTTTGGTTCCACGCCACATTCGTGCTTCAAATGTCTTGCCAGGCTGGAGTAGTAATTGTATACCTTGCCACAGTTCTTGCACGGATAGGTGACTTTCTGGCAGTTAATGTAGCCCAGCGTACGCGACTCTGAAAAATTCGAAAGACAGAAGAGATCAATATTAGAAACGGTTGGCAAAAAAGACCGAAAGTGTTCGCTTTCGCGTCAGCCGTATTCATTTTCATTCAAGCTTCGTAGCAATTGCCGAATTGCTAAGCATCCGTACATTTTCGTTTGGATCGTTCTTCGAGAATTTATTTATCTGAGAAAACGTGAACGCAACGCAAAATCATTTGCAAGTATTTTTCGGATCGCGTGTCTGTTTCGGCAGTTTCGCTCGAAAGCTATTATACTGAGCTTTCGTTTAGAGAATTCGTTTGGAGAGGAACGACAGGTTATATAGCATCAGTTGAATCCACGGAGAAACAGAAAGAGTACCGCAGGAAACTATCGCAGGGACTCATGCAGTCTTTGTCAAGTGATTCCCTAAAAAGAAATAGATGATATGTAGAATCACGTTAGTTCGTATCGTCAAGCGACCCAATTCTTTTTCTCGGTACAATTTTCCTTCCGTCTTCTAGCATTTGACAACTCGATTATTCATGAAAAAGAAACCGATCGGATTTTACGAACGAGAACGAATAACAATGTTCGATAAAACATAGGTCAATTACAAGTACATTGTCCATACTTAATAAACTAATTGTGCTTTATTACGTTATTAATTATTCGACATACTTTTCATCATACCTATTATGGTATTGTTGTCATCGTTGTTGCTGCTGCTGTAACTTGTTGTTATTAATTTTACTCTTATTTTTATTTTTATTGTTGTTGTTGTTGTTGTTGTTGTTATTACTATTATCATTATCGTGGTCATTACCAAAATCACATACACTTAACGAACGTCTAATCAAACAATTGTCGTCAATTTCACAATTTCGGACCATTTCGCATATATTTCTCCATTACACCGAGAATCCCCAGTTTACTGTAACGATGAAGAACAGACTTGGATATAGAGAATTTTTCAGCCGCTTTCCTCAAGGACAACCCACTGGCCACCGCTTCAACAGCTAACTTGATACGTTCAACATCAATTTCAGATCTCACGAACTTTCCGGAGAAACTTGATCTTCTGGTGTAACACCTTCGCCCTGTAACACGAATTAATCGCAATTGTAAAAGAAACGTGAAAATCGCTTTCCACCCAGTAAATAGAGAGAATTATTTTTGACGAAGGGTCGATTCCGGTTGGAGTCGTTATCCTCATGCCGTTCGATTCTCGATTTAAACGAAATGCGTGTGTATCTGTCGGATAGGATCGAGAAAAGGAGAAACATAGTGAAAGAAAGAACGCTGGTCGAATCAAAACGGTAGAATGGACGTGCTACTGGTGGCAAGGATCGAAATAAATAAGTGAACAAAGTTAGTGAAAATATAAATATATACACACTAACCTTGTCGAAAATTCGAGTGCGACGAAGGTGGTTGTTTGTTACAAATAACAAATAACGTTGGAAATAAAAAAATTTTAAGATGGTCCGGTACAAATAAAACATCCACAGGGTTAGTTTTATTGTAAATTCGATGAACGAGGAAAAGATCGTGAAACAGGCCACGAACGACACGAGTCAGTAACCTGAATGTTCGCGTGAATCCTCTTTATGTGAGACTTGAGGTTCCACTTTCGGTTGCTTCTGTAACTACAGTAAGGGCAACACTCGGCCTTCTTCTGGCCGCAAGACGCTTTCACGTGTTCCGCCAAATGATGCTTCCAACGATACGATTTCAAACATTTCGAGCACTTGTATCTGCCTCCGAGGGGATCCGTGCTTTTGTTTCGGGTTGATTTACGGTCAGACTCGGAATAATTCGCTTCGTACGAGCAACTTTCCGATCGAAACTCGCTCCCTTCGGTTACCGTCGTAGGCTCGAATACCTGATAGTCCTCCCAAAGGATCAGTTCACCTGAAACACAATATCCAATTCGTCATTGGCAGCGTTCAACACCGAGAAGATTCGTTTGCCTTTGCGCCGTCGAGGATCGTCTAACGAAAATCTAAAAATGTCGAAACAATCAAAAAAACAAAAAACGGGTAAACGGCCAATGGACAAGGAACCAAGCGAATGAATATCGAAAAACAGGGCAGGATTGTGATTACAATTACTCTGAGAATATTGGATAAATACATCAAACGATACCAACTTTATTTTCTCTCTCTCTCTCTCTCTCTCTCTCTCTCTCTCTCTCTCTCTCTCTCTCTCTCTCTCTTATTTCCTTCTTCTTCCCTCTAAACGTTCAAATCTGTAACATTTACAACATTTCGCGACATGGCAAACATCTCGTTCTTTCTCGATTCTCTTATTATACCGTCTATGTAACACATTACAAAATCGAAAATAATTATAACCGTCGTGCAAGCTTTCATTATTCAAACAACCGTATCAACGTCGTTGCAATGCATACGATTAACGTGCTTCTTCAAATTTGATTTCTTGTACGTGCGAAAGACGCAGTACGGGCAACACTGCTGCTTGTCCTTGCCGCAAAATATTTTTTGATGCTCCACCAGATGACCTTTCCTTTTGTAACTTTTCAAGCACCTCGTGCAAGAATACTTGTACTGTTGCCTATCTTCATTGAAGCCGCCTGCCTGACACTCGATGCTCTCAGTCTCGTCGTCGTCTTCGTCCTCATTCTCGCAGGTACCTTTGATCACGACACAGTTGTCCGTACACGTTTTGGTACTTTCGTTTTCAAAATTAATCCGCGTGCTTATAAAGTAAGCGTCGGCCGCATCGAGTAACTCCATGCGTTCGCCGATTCCTTCCCTGATTTTGCTTGCGCTCGTGGAATCTGAAACAAAATATCACGCGTCTTTACATGCGACTGCTGCTTCGTACGCGAAACCGTAACAACGTACAAAGGCATATGAAAAAAGAACACATGTCGTATTTCACAGATTTCCGTTTCTGTTTCCATTTTCGTTAGCGCGACGTCTACTTCGACGATCGGTCGCACGTTCTCCCCTGCTAAAGCAAACTTCCTTTAGAGACTCCTCGCGTCCGGTGAAAAGAGTCGTCGAATTTTACAATTTGTCTAGCGATGATCAACTGCAAGCAATATCGATATCGATTAATTTCGTTGTTAGATTTCGTCGGCGTCTTTCAACAACGATCGTTAAAGTTGTTGATGAAATGGTAAAAAGTTAAAGTCGTTGATGAAATGGTAAAAAGAAAAAGAAAAAAAGGAACAAAAAGAAAAGAAAGAAGAAGAAGAAAGGAAAAAAAGAAGAAGAAAAGTAGAAAAAGATAATGATGAAAACGGGACGAATCGTCGAAGAATCTGTTCAGATGATTGGATCTGTACACAGGTATTTATTTAAAAAGCAATCGACTGCCGGACATCGTTACACAGGAACACTTAACCATCACTGCGCAGCATTCTTGCTCGATCTAATAGATTTACGGATCGATATCGAATCGAATGGATAAGATAGGCGAGATGTTCATGCATCGTAGACAAATGACTCGCGTACATTGTTCCTTCTAATCTATCGATAACAAATACGATTCGTCTTCCGCGTTCGTACGATTACATAAAGAATGAGATGAAAGGTGACTGACTGGTTCTCACTACTTGATTAGCGTGAATACTTATATGAAATTGAATCCGTTACGTCGATACAATTTTAATACGACTTTAATGAAACATTTGGCTTCTCACACGAGAGCGGACGAACGGTTTCCTTCTAGTTTCCCTTCTTCTTCTCATTCTCCACCATACTCCCTCTCTTCTCTCTCTCTCTCTCTCTCTCTCTCTCTCTCTCTCTCTCTCTCTCTCTCTCTCNCCTCTCTCCTCTCTCTCTCTCTCTCTCTCTCTCTCTCTCTCTCTCTCTCTCTCTCTCTCTCTCTCTCTCTCTCTCTCTCTCTCATGTAACCTCGGATTTGCGTGAAAACAGGTTAAGAAAAAAAAAAGGAAATCTGAATACGGTCTTTCGTCTTTCATCCCGCTTCTAGAGTAAATATCACGTAGACGTAAACGATGAATTTCGTGTATGGGCTTCTCGCATTTGACGTATGTATGTACGTTGCGCGTCAATGTTAATTTTATCGAGATGTCGAAGCGTGTCCGTTCGAACAAGGAAACGCGGCGTCGAAGCACTCGAATTCATTCGGCCGTGAATTCTTTGTCCGAGACACGCCAGAGAGAGGGAATTGAGCATACAACGTCGTAATTACAATTCTACCGCAATTGCTCGCAAAATCTCAAACGGTTCTTTTTATAGGGAGGAGGGGGTGGAAAAAAAAAAAAAGAAAACTGGCTGCGAATGCATGCTTGTCCTCACTACGATCGCTTCAATATCAAACAGGTAGGAAATCGGTTGCTAAAATTTATTGCGCTATCATTATTTTATCGTTATCGATATGGTAAAAATCGTGACAATAAGTACGAAAAATTGTAGATTGCACTCGACGAAAGCGAATAAAGTGATGCTATCCGACGTATAGTATCTACAGGTATCGCTAGACTGTAACGATGAAGGTAAAGAAAAAAAAAAAAAAGAAAGAAGAAGAAGAAGAAGAAGAAGAAACGAAAGAGTCGAGACAAAGGAGAAAGAGAAAGAAATAAAAAAACAGCCTGTGGACTAGATTTGATTTACCAGAGATCGGTAACAATTACTTTGCGAGTCGCGAAATCGCATCGATACACGAGAATCCTTTTGCGCAAATCGGCATGCGACACTAACTTTTCGAGACTAACGATTACAAATATTTTTGTTCGTCGACGACAATAACATTTTGGAGATGTTGCAGCTTCGCATAAAACTCGATCGATCCACAACACACGTACGTGATGCAACGAATTTTGTCAAATTGAAAGAAAGAAATTGTCCTTCCGAGTTGTTCGAAACGTCCAAAATATCAAGGGTTTAACTAATACACGCGTGGCGACGGAGTTACAAACACCAATCAAAACGTGCGAGAGAAACATCCGTCCTAAACAGCATTGTTCTCTGCGTGAAAAACAAGTTCCACCGCGAAATCCAAAAATTTTTGCACGAGTGCATATGTCGCTGAACGAAAGGGTCGTAGACGATAGATAACGTTCAGCGAATCAGCTGTCTACTTGATGTTGTGCACTGAGAGCAAGTGCTTGAGAAACGAGGCCTCGATCCTCGATCTGTAAGGGCAATACTGGCAGGAGAAGTGAGTCTCAAACGTAACCATTCCGCAGCCCATCTTCAGATGTTTCCGTAGATTCGACGCCCAGGAATACATTTGCCCGCAACGTGGACAAACGTGTAGTCGCGGCCTCACGATCGGGAATAAGGGTGCATCTGGAAAGAAATCTCGGTTATTAAAGAACGAAACGGCGTGAACGGCGTGAGACGCGATGCGATACGATACGATGCGATGCGATGCGTCGTGGCGTAAATCGGAAAGGGAGTTGGGCGAGGGCTGGTTTTCAGACGGGAAGAGAGAAAAGATTAGGAATCGCAGTGGCTAGCTTCTAGACATCGAAGCGCATGCCTTGCCAGGTTATTAGAACACAACGGAATACGACGACAGAGTCCCGTCTAGCCGCCTATAATTATACGCGCGATAATTGCAGCACTCTTCGAGCAAAAATCAGCGAAGCTATTCGACGAATATATCTAGCTTCGAAACGAATAGTCGCTTCGAGATTTCCTCGAAAAGCGTATCTTTCTCGTATCTTTCGAGCAGCTTAAGAAAAAAAAGAAAAAAAGAACGACGATGCCAACAAACCTGTACTCGTGCACGCACATATACTTACGTTTCGTTTTCGTTCCCCGAATGTTTTTTTTTTTTTTTTTTTTTTTTTTTTCGCCCGTTTCGAAAGACGTTCTTTCAGCTATCAATCGACTCGGTCTAAAAATGACAAATCTCTCGAAAACGATCGAGAATGTTTTTTGCGTCAAGGGTTAGGTTGTCGTAATGGGTAAAAATACACTTTATTTTCGGACAGTAGAACTTCGGCTTGTGTTTCCAATGTTTACAAGATAAATGCCTCCTCAAATTCCCCTTATATCTCGACTTGTAATCGCAGAAGGTGCAGCAGAAATTTGGTGGTTTCTCGCAACCCATTCTTCGATGAAGTTTCAAACTGGAAGGCCAGAAGAACAGCCGACCGCATTTCTCGCACGCAAGTATACCTGAAACAAAAGTCTTAGTCAGAGTATTGCAAAGGTGAGCCGCGCTTTTCACAACACGTTCGAAAACGAACTTTCGCCTCGTTCTCGTTCTTCCTTGACTTTTTAACGCACAAAATCCACACTGCGTGTCAAGTGCACGACAAGACACAGACTCGAGAAGACACAGTAGGATTGACGAGAATACACCAGCTGAAGCCAACAGCGAGCTTTCCAGTAAACGTGAAACGAACCCGAGGTTTATCCATTTACCAACAATTTATTGATCATACAACAGATTATTGAATCGGGTGAATCCTTCGCGAATAAATATCACAATTGATCGACGAACGAGTCGTTGACTCTAATCGTGCAACAAGATGCAACTAACGGTGTTAGCGAGACAACGACGACACGTACGCACGAAACACGGTCGTGCTTTATCCAAAGTGAATTCGAAGAATGTGCTTTTGCAAGCTGCTTTTGTATTTCGTTCTGTGCGGACAGTACGGGCAATATTCTTTCGGGTCTTTGCCGCACTCGATTCTCAAGTGATTCTTCATGTTTCTCAACCAACGATAACCTTTGTTGCACTTCGGGCATCTGAAGCAACCTGGCTTTTTGTCCAAACAGCTGCTCGATTTCCGCGGTACCTTGAAGTTTGGACTATTCGAGGATAGCAACAGCTTGTGCTGGCCAACGGTTCTGCTTTGATAACGGTATCCGGCCCAAGACAGCTCTGTAAAAAGAAGGAACGTACTTTATTATTACAGAGAACTTTGGTTGGAGTGCGCATTTTCATGCGGCAAACGATTCAGGCATTGTTTCGCGAGAGATACGCGAAACATTCGAGCACGAATTGGGGAGGAGCGTAATAAATTGAATAAACGGTCGCGACGTAGTCTTTTTTTCTTTTTTTTTTTTTTTTTTTTTTTTTTTTTTTTTTTTTTTTTTTTTTGTTTTTTTTTCTTTCTTTTTTGGAACAGAACGTGTTCAAGTACTTTAAAAATGTCATTTTTTATTTTTCGTCATATTCGCTTGGCACATGGCTTTATACAATATCACGACATTTACAGGCGTACAGTATGATCGTACGATGGTAAACTCATTTTCACTTGATAGCAATTGGATAATTCTAGTTGCAAATAGAGATGTCTCGCTAATTGATCGCTAGTCTATCGCGTTACAAGATTCGACTCTACAGGAGGATAGAGTTTCTAATCTATCGTAGTTCTTTATCTACGTTAACGGTGTTAAACAAAATGGTAACATTCGAGAGAGAGAGAGAGAGAGAGTAAAAAAGATTTTGCGCGAGCAGAGCGCATGATGAAAAGAGGATAGATGAAAGTAAAAAAAGAAGAAAGTAAGAAAAAAAGAGAGAGAAAGAAAGAGACAGAGAAAGAAAGAGAGAGAAAAAATTGCCTCCTAAGCCTCCTAGATGCTACTCGAAAACACGTTCTTGCCAGGATGATTGGTTCGAATGTGTTGATAAAGATTGCCGCGTTGTTTGGTTCTGTGGGCGCAATAGGGGCATTTGAACTGCGGTTCCTTGCCACACTCGTGCCTGGTATGCCTGACCAGTGTGGCGCGATGCTGGTACCCTTTCCCGCATGTCTCACACCGATATGGGAACTCGACTCGCTTCGCCATCCAAAGAGTCGCCAGGTCCTTGATCAGAGGCATCATCGGGTAGTTGCAATTCCTTTGAAAGTTCTTCGGCATAGTCATACACGGGATCGGTATGTCTGCAAGTCACAGGAAGAACAAAACGAGGGTCGTTAGTTGGCGAGAATAAACGGGCGTCTCTTCGAATTGGGATATGCTTTTGTCAGACAAGAAATCCAACTACGATCGAGAATATTTCGTTTAATTGCGTTTCAATACGGCACACAGTTTTTTTTTTTTTCAATCGACATCAAAACTACATCGAGTCAACGATTTTTAGGATTTCAACGTTGATTTTTCATTGGTTAATTAGATTTACGTTTTGGTTAACTAAAGAAGAAACGGGCCTTTATCGATATACAAAGACAAAGTACGAAAATATTGCCGTGAATTTTTTTGGAGAGAGGGTGGCTATTCAATGTCCATCTGTGTTGTACATTTCAAGCACCGCAAAGCATAAGTTCGGGTGACGGCGTTCGATGTGCCGGTGGATCTGGTCGACAGTGTTCCCAACGGTATCGCAATAAGGGCACATCTTCTTCGACTTGAATCCGCACACGCGTATCATATGCGTGCGAAGATCGCTCAAACGATGAAACTTTAAGGAACACTTTGGACAGAAATTCGAGCCCCGGAACGATGACGAATGATCGTTTACGCTCGAGCAGCGATTTCCTGCCGGTCCGTGGATCCTTCCGCGTTGACACGTCACGTCCATCCCAATGTTAAACAACGCGCTTCGACACGAACCTGAAATCGAACGTGTGCCAATTAGAAATTTCCTTTCGTTTCTTTTTTCACCTTTTTTTTCTTGTATCAGTCGATTGTCTCGTTAACGACCTATCGCCGGTCGTCCAACGAGCATCATCTTACTATCGAGGCGATCAAGAGAAAATCAAATTATCGCTATCGTACGAAATAACTTCAAAGATTTTACTTTGCAATTTATTGTTTCTAATACTCTTCCTCGATTCGGCGCATTGATGGTACAATAAAGTCGCGACAATCGAGGATGAACAGAAACGAAGAAAGGGGCAATGCAGAACACATTTTCGTAAAAGCGATCGACGACGATTGGGAGACACCTTTCTTGCCGTTGTCACACATACTTTCATCTTCCGTTTCTCTTACTTTCCAAAAAACGCATGCTAAATTCTAAACACATTCGCTACATACCGGCCGGCTGTTACACACGTGCCTCTTCGACGAGCACGATCTTGCTACAATTTGCACACAGTGCAAACTTTTGCGTTACGCGTCCGCCAAATATCGTGGCCAAATATTATACAAATGCTCTCGCGCGCAAGATCCGAGCTGATTTCATTTCATTCATCACCGATTAAAAGACAGATAAAATTCGTGACGGAGGAGGAACAGGAATCGACGATCGTTTATTCATCGTTTTCGTTTGTTATCGTCGTTTATACTTCGCGGAACAATACGCATAATCGTCGACGCACGAACACGAAAGTTGCGAAAGGAGGAACTTGTAGTCAGAACTTGATTGGCAAATGATCGGAGTGAAATTCAATCACAACCGATCTTAACCGTTTGCGGACGGGACTGCATGATGCGCGAGCACACCGTCTGGACGGTAGTGTTTAAGCGGAAGAATGACGTACAGTGACTGTTATTAATATTCGGCCGACATCGTGCTATACAAAAATATTGTTGTGGATTTCGATTGTTTATATAAAAGTAAATTTGAATTAACTTTTTATATAATATAACAGAACGTTCATTCATAGTTTGGAGTAGCATGAATTTTATTTATTTATTGCACATACTTTTCTGAATATCAAACAATAAACTGAACTATGTCGAGATGCAGCGTGGCAAAAATATTCGGACATTTGAAGAACCATAATATTTGAACCTGAAAATTGTTAACATAAACAACAATTTGTTGGGTAGCGTTTAACTTCAATTACATATCGCAGACGCTTAGGCATATTTTCAGTAATTTTTTTTAAGTAATTTAGCGGAATATCCTTCCATTCTACGATTAATCGTTATTTTAACTCCACTTTCGATTTATTGACGTACGACAATTAGTCATTTTTCACCGAAAAAAAAAAAAGAAAAGAAAAACGTATCGAGAAATCGGTCATCTTTTAAAATTAAACAAGAGTATCGTGACTGATATTGTACGGAGATACAATGATGAAGACCGAATTGAATCAATTCCTCAGAAAGGTCGGCAATTTGTTAACAATTTTCAGGTTTAAATATTATAGTTCTTCAAATGTCTGAATATTTTTGTCACGCTACATCTCGACATAGTTCAGTTTATTGTTTGATATTAAGAAAAGTATGCGCAATAAATAAATAAAATTTATGTTACTATAAATTACAATGAATGTTCTAATATATTATTAAAAAATTAATCCAAACTTACTATTATAAACAATCGAAATCCACAACAATATTTTGAATAGCACGACGTCCGAATATTAATAAGAGTCACTGTACGTACGCTTGAAGATTCGATTGTAACACTTATAAATTATACACTACGTAAACACGCGTATTTTCATCAGTGTCACTTGATTCAATGTAAAAATCATCATCGTATCACTGCTGGTATCGCAAAATGCAATATCCCTCTTGCTTCTCTTACATGTTATTACAGCAGGTGAACAAACTATTGGAATATCAGGACTGTGTCGCTTCGAAAGACTGCAGTCATCTCGTGCACGAGTGTACGCAACCAGATAGAAGAAATCACACTCCTATATAAAATTTAACTACAAAGAAACGTCAATAGATAGTTGAGAGCACACGACTATGTTTGCAGGCTAAACATTCAAAATCTGAATAGTGCACAGATCCGAATGGCGAACGGTAAAATTAATTGGGCTGCTGTCCGTAAAACATGCATCCTGAACGGTAAAATGTTTGTGCTGCTATCGTCCACAGGCACGCGTCCGCAAAGTGTTAATTCAGATCGATCACGTACACGTTTTGTCCACGATGACACTGACGAATGTGTCTATAAACGTGGCCACGCTGTTTCATTCGCGCGGCACAGTAAGGGCACTGAACTCTCGGCTCTTGTCCGCACTCGAACTTGGTGTGTCTTTTTAAATGCCAGGCGTGTATATAGCTTTTGGAGCATCTAGAGCACGTGTGCCTTTCAATGTCTCGAATAGCGGCGGCCCTACGTCTCCTCGAACCGAGCGGCTTCTCTTCCTCGTAATCGAAATCCTTCGCTTCTTCCATCACCACCGAGCAAAGATCCTCCAGATCAGTTTCTATCTTGATCTTCTTGACGTCTATAAAAAGAAAAGTAAAAACGAAACGGAATTAGTCGCAATCTCGGGACGTGTTCGCGTGACCGGTCAAATAACGGAGGAAACAAACAAAAAAAAAAAAGAAATGATAAAAGCGGTTATCATTATGAAGAGGATCAGGTTATCGCGAGTTATTTTTTTTTTTTTTTTTTTTTTTTTTTCCCGCGTTTCGATAACACTTCGACGCTTGTAGAGACACCCGGTGAGCCAAAAATCACTTCCAAATAATAAAAAGTAAAATAAAATACTCTGGTGGTCAACGTTCGAGGAAAATAATTTTTGAAACATAATTGAAGAAGAACGTGTTCGAACTTAAATTTTAATTTGAAAATTAATAAAGTTAGTTTTTCCTTGTATTTTGTTCTATTAAAAAAAAAAAAGAAATATGCGGGGGAAGAAACTTTTGGCCCGCCCTGTATATTTAGAAATTCCATTAGCGCCGGTTACGATTGAACTGCGAGTTTTTATGCGTTTTTGTACTATTAGAAACACACGAGTGAAGTATCCGGAACTTGAGCAGAAATTTATTTCACTTATTGAAAATCGATTATTAATTTTATGTTTTGTCATTATTAAATTTATAAGTGACTTTTAATATCATTGCTATTGTAGTGTATTTATACGTGTACATTATATTTATATTGTACATGTTTGAAAAGTTTCATATAGTTTTGCATATCTTGTGCATCTCTGTGACTTCAACTTTTACATGAATACGTAAAACTCTGCAGTGTTGATCAAATTTGAAAATATGCATAAAAGTTACAAGACATATAAACAATAAATTATTCATTATATTAATAAACGTTGATGATACTTCTCGTATGTGAGATTTTAAGGCATCTATTTATTTTACTAATTATTTGCAAAAAAAAAATATCTCGTACCTTCTACATACATGAACTTTCACGTTCAGTATTAACCATGTCAGTCAACGAAATTTCAAAAATGTGTCACATATCAATCCAATCATACAAATACGTACAAATCTTCGATAAAAGTTTCATTAAAAAAAAAAAAAAAAAAAAAAAATCTATGACCAGTGTGAATCAGTGTGCATTTCGGACTGATGTGACGATGATTCATATTTCCAGACACCGGTGCAAGGCGGAAGAGTCGGTGAACGACGTGCCAGCAGTCCTTTCCAAAATGGTCAAACAGAAGTCCTGATCGGAGAACTGGAGGGCGGCCCAAGGTCGCCGCGGGGATCCACCTCTTCGGCAGTGAACGACGCCAATTTCCTCAATCCGCCGGATGAACGTGACGATCAGAAGCCCATTTACAGGCGAGTACTAAAATTAAGCATCGATCGGTGCATGCTTTCGCTTCTTTTCAAATATACCCTCTGTGTCTGTGTATGTGTGTGTGTGTGTGTTTCCCTCCTGGTCAATATCTTCCTTTATATCGTATCTGTAGCAACATTGCAATCGCATAATGTCAAAAAAAATATTCGTGCCTGTCGCGAGTGAGGTTAAAGAATGAGATGTTCATTCGTCGAATTGCTTATTGATACGACGAATATTCGTTTTGACTCGGTTTATTAATAACGAATAGACCGTGAATGTTTATGCAAATTTGAATTAGGCGTAAAGGGGAACTAGGCAACAAGGGAACGTTTGAGGGTAAAGTAAGTACACAGAAGGAAAAGGGATGATTTTCGCACGCAAAAGTAAACTGAGGAGACATGGGATAAAAATCTCTTCACATTTTCGACTGTATAATATTAGAGCTGTGCTAACTTTAAACTGGAATGAATCGACAACTGGAAACAATCGATAGGAAATTATTCTACGAAGAGTACAGTTTTTCCTCGTTTTCGCAGAAAGAAAAATTCGGTTGGAAAATTTATTCAAGCGCACGTTCACGCCAAGGGTGAATTTTAAACTAGTCTGTGTCCCTTGAAAACGAAGCCTTAAGGTGGGATCTCTTACGAGCGTTAGACGCATGCGCGGTAGCAGCCGCGCGGCAAATGCGTGCGCATGCGCGAGAAGCGTTGCTGCAACATTTGATAATTATGCACAGGAATGCAACATTTGACGATCATGTACAGGAAATGGAATGTCCGTGTACAATATCCAAAGTGAGAGATATTCGTAGCACATTAACCTCCACCGAAATTTATTTTCTATTGGTCTTTATAATCACGAGTGACACGACTGGCTCGAGCCATGTGTCACACGTTATAGTTGTCGAAACAACGATTCCCGTTTAACATGACGTACAGTAGAACGGACTGTTCATATTTTACTAACGTATTTGCACGACTACAGACACCATTGAATTCGTTTCGTGGTTTCTCGGTGCCCTTTAATTTTATAGGTCGCCGTAGTTTCCGCAATCACCGTGGCGGGCATTTCGCGCGAAAAGGAAATCGCTGGTGGGCGTGTACACTCCCGCTCAAAAGTCCTCGGTTATCTATTTTTAATAAAACTTTGATATTCGACGCGGAATTCTATGCCGTGGCTTGCGAACGCTTTAAATTGCACGGTACTTTTTTTAACAAGATTGTTAACTTCCTTCGTCGAAGAGTATCGGGTTAAATTATTTATTTCTCTCAATTTTTAAAATCTCTTTGTTCCTGTTTGTATAATATATCTGTCATTTGTCACTGACACGTTTATGATACGAGATATAGGGTGTCTCAAATTTAAATGTAAGACACTGATAAGACAAAACAGTCCATTAGAGATTTGCTCGTTTTTGCTCCATTTTAAAGGAAATCGCGAAGAAAAGAAACAAAAACAGTTTCCGTTTTTCCACTTTATTTACTTACACTTACTCCGTGTTATCATCTAATTACATCATCCATATTATTATCTTATAATATCCATCATCATCCATATCATCTATCTAACAAAGATACTGTTTAAAATTTGCAACAGTGCAAGCATCACGTCGAACTACAATTTGTTCACTCCGATTGTGTGCTAGACATTTTTGTAATAATGTTTGGCCTCTCGTTGAACACGTGAAAAAAAAAAAACGAAAGCTTGTCTCTTTCATTCCCCGCGATTTTCTCTGAAACGCAATTAGTTTGTCCCTTACGTGCTCCCAACGTCGCGACACTCAAATTTGGAACACCCTGTACAACGCAAGTAGTCCCGTATCTTATATCGTAACGTTATTAAAATTTCAAACTGTTTCCATCCGCGGCATGTGCAATAGTAGACGTAAAAGTTCTCGTGGAAGTTCTCCGCGGGCCGCGTGTACGTGCGATTAAAGTTTCATTTTGCAAAATGACGCTCGGGCGGAAGCGTAGTATCTGCCGCAAGTTCCCTGTGGCGAGCAAGTTGTGGCCTACGCTCGGGCTCGTTTGCCCTGCCGGTACACGTTTGTTCGCCAGGTGACTGTCAGATGTCGCGGCGAACGTGTTTGCAGCGTGCCACCCAGCAATTTCTCCGTTTATCGGAAGAAACCAGACGGCGGAGGTGCGCGAGCCTGAAACGATAGAGGCTCTCCGCTCTGTATTACGATTGTCGCCCGTTTTAATGGAATCTAGGGGAGCGCGGTGCCACGAGTAGAGACGTGATCTTCACAGGGACGCGAATTCATTTTCTAGCCCCGTGGAATTCATTCAGCGGCTCGGCAATTACAATGCAATAAGGGTTAATACCGCTAACGGAATAACGTAATGCAATATCGGCGTTCGCGAACCTCCGGAAGATCAAAAGAGCAGCTTTGGCTGTGTAATCGGGTGTAGAGGGGCGAGTAGTCGCTTCAACCCCATTAACGATCAACTTGAAGTTGCGAGAACGTCACTTTATTATTGTATTACTAGGCCATCGAGGATTCAAGGTCATTTCAAGGTTTGTTCTTTGCTCATCTCCATGCATTTTTCTTACCAACTGCGTGATACGATAGAAAAAAAAAAAAATGGACCTTGAAAACTCTAAAAAAAAAAAAAAAAAAAAAAAAAAAAAAAAAGAAACCTTGGAAAAGAAATTCTTACCAGTTGTATCGATCTCTCGATATCATTCATCGTCAGGCGAAAAATATCTTTTGCATCGTCACAATTCATCGCGAAAGATATGTCCTCGCCATATTAATTGGACCGCCCTGTAATGTATATGTAAAATCATCTGGAGTAAAGCGCACAAAAAGTGTTCTTACACAGTTCGAAAAATACACTCAGCCTTCTCCGCAATAAATTTCACTAATCTCAAAAATCATAGTCGCGCATCTACCCAGACGGAGAAACAGAGAATCTCTTGTAATTTCCACTGCAGAGCCGATGGAACTTACAACGATAATGTCAACCGACTGACGAAATGCAAATGTCAAGGAAACTTCGGTCCTGAATGGGTTAATCGACGAGCAGCTGCCTCATCGGATTTAGGATCGATTTTCCCTGATTAAAGAGACAGGAGAACTAAAAATAAGTTCATGGAGGGGGGGAGGGGGGGGGGGGAGGTATAGTTAGAAGGAACCTTCGTGGAGGTTATGTCGCACGACGGTGGCCGCGTTTTTCGGAAACGAGCTCGGAACAACTTTTAATTGAACGCGTATCTCTGGGACTTCGTGGTCTACTGGAGCACGGAGGTAATTAATTTGTAGAAAGCGGGGCCAATGGAGCCGAGTAGAGGCCAACCAACACTTTGTGGATGGAACAGAAGACCGAGGGTCCACTGTAATCTCCGACGTGGCTCGAGCCATCGGCCAAGTGGACTGGCTGTCTCTTTTGCTCGTTTCTTCTTTCTCTCTCTGCTCTCCTCTCGCTTCTCAGTCACTTCACCGGTATTTCACGCTCGTGACACACCCACCGGTCGGTTGGTGTAAGTGTAGCCTAAACAATGCGTTTTCCAGACCTCGCGCGATGCAGCGTTGCCCAACCTGTCTACGTTGCACCGTGGAATCTTTGTAATTTTCAAGGCACCACCCCTCGGATTATCCTCCTTAAACACAGAGTAAACTCAGCTTCGTAACTCGCGGTACGAACGAGGTCAGGCGGAGTCAATGGCTCGAAAGGGAAGACGAACGAGCCCACGCGAGGACGACGATATTGCATCGGCGGTTTCTTCATTTTTCAGAGTAGTTTCAGAGATAAAAGTTTGAAAAATTCGTCAGTTCGATTAACCCCGTTTGGCTGGAACGGGGGAGAGTCTCTTTTTTTAAGTCTCGCACTGCGTGATGTATCGTTTCATATAAGTTTTTTTCCATGAAAAGAGACCGTTACGATTGATGTTTCAAATGGTATATATATCTTGAAGTTCGCGAAGTTCTGGGTGCTGAGACGCGCAAGATTGGGAAACGCTGCTGCTGCTGCGTTGGCTTTGGATTCCTTCCTTCTTCGTTCCTTTTCTCTTTCTTACGTCGTCCTCTCTCTCTCCACCTTCCTCCCCCCCTCTCTCCCTTCTCGTTTATTCTTATTGTCTTCCTGCGACCGAACGGTAGAAACGAATCGGCACGCCATTGCAAGCGCAAACACTGTTTCCTCCTTCGCTCTTCGCTTGTTATTGGCTACGTGTGATTGTCATTCAACGAGCACAGTTTCTATTAGCTTGAGATAACGAACGGTTTCTTGGCTGAAGGACACTATAAACATAAAATGTTTATCATTGAGTTATCTAACTTGAACGCAAATAAAGATACTCGACTTGACAGAAAATAAAATAATATAATCGAAAGACATAAACAAATTTTCGAAAGACCATCGCATCAGATATAAAATAGAAGTGGATCTTCACACACAAACAATCCTGTACAGGATTACTATAAAAAATCAAATGACAACTGTTTTGAGTTGATTTTAAATTCATTAGCATCTCAACAATGATAATTACTAAATTATAATAATAGTTGATAATACTCCTAATGTATAATTTATTACACATAATAATGTATTACAATGTATATTTACTAGTTATTGTGCTAATTGTACGTTGATATATTAAAACAATTAGTACTTAGTATTGCAGTAATGAGAACATTCGTTACGATACTATAAAAGAAAAAAAAAAAAAAAAAAAAAGACTTGTTACCTCCAAACCTATTTTAATTTCATCTGTATGAAACGTATTACGAAACAGAATTGAAGAAACGACGGAAAGCAATTACGTTGAAAGAAGAGTGATCGCTGCGAGTAGAGTGGCGGGTGGTAAAGGGGGTTTCTCCGTTTCGAGGGGGGAAAAGCTCTCTTTATCGACAGGCACGCGTGCATGTCGTCAGCATAGAGGTCACCGGGTGCCAGGAATTAATCGAGCTTTTCACAGCGGTGCAGATCGGCCGAGTAATCCCAGCCAGGGCCCGATGATTAAAAACGAATATCCTAGATCGGTATTTCGGCGA